GAGAGACGCGAGGAGAGAGGAGCAGAGAGAGACAGAGAGGAGCAGAGAGACGGAGACGCGAGGAGAGAGAGACGGAGAGAGAGACGGAGACGCGAGGAGCAGAGAGAGACTGAGACGCGAGGAGAGAGAGACGCGAGGAGAGAGGAGACGCGAGGAGAGAGAGACGCGAGGAGAGAGGAGCAGAGAGAGACAGAGAGGAGCAGAGAGACGGAGACGCGAGGAGAGAGAGACGCGAGGAGAGAGGAGCAGAGAGAGACAGAGAGGAGCAGAGAGAGACAGAGACGCGAGGAGCAGAGAGAGACAGAGACGCGAGGAGAGAGAGACGCGAGGAGAGAGGAGCAGAGAGAGACAGAGAGGACAGCGAGACGGAGACGCGAGGAGCAGAGAGAGACAGAGAGGAGCAGAGAGACGGAGGCGCGAGGAGCAGAGAGAGACGGAGAGGAGCAGAGAGAGACAGAGACGCGAGGAGAGAGAGACGCGAGGAGAGAGGAGCAGAGAGAGACAGAGAGGAGCAGAGAGAGACAGAGAGGAGCAGAGAGAGACAGAGAGGAGCAGAGAGACGGAGACGCGAGGAGCAGAGAGAGACGCGAGGAACATAAACAATAATTTAAACAAGTTGCAGAACTCTTGAGCAGTGTTTGAATCAGTGTTTTTCGGAAAAGCACTACTTTGCCGGTATCTGTCAATGTTCAACATAAAACACAGATTAACAAACTCCTCCCCCGCAGCCGGACTAACCTCGTAAGTCCAGTGGTGGTCTCCCAGTCTATATTAATTCTTTCTTTGTTTGAAAGTCCAATTGAGAAAAAAAATCTTCATTCAAATCATCCATTTTCCAGCAAAAGAAATAGCATTTTGGGCTGATTGTTTGTTAGCAACTCTGGTATGAACTTTATGCTCACTATCACCCCTAGCGGTGAGGCACAGATACCGCCTGCCTCACGCCAAGCTTTTTCCTTGTGTGTTCATCTACGATCAAAAGACTTAAACTAAATATAAATTGTACACACATACGTGCAATACACTACTAAACACTAAGAGGAGTTTAAAACATGTTTTTAAAGCAGGATATTTGAAACAAACGGTGATATATCAACTGCACGAGCTGAGTGCACTCAGACACACACACACACACTGTGAGGGAGCGGTCTGAGGTGAGGCACGCAGGAGCGCTGCCTCACCTCGTCTCTTTGAATAGGAATAACGGGATTTCGGCGATTTTGACTTCAGAAATGATCAAAACTGATGGGAACCGTGCCGAATATACATTAAAAGCATAGGGCAGTGGATATAAATTATATATTTAAACTAAAATAATTATTAGTTTCCAATAATGGCAGGTGAGGCTCTGCCTCCCCTGCCTCCCCTGACTGCACGTCCCTGTATAAGCTAGTAATACCGTATTCAGTTATTTTTATAGATCCATGATCAATGACAACATACCCTCCTAACCCAAAACAGGTAAACAAAAAAAGATAACTGTTATGAATAGATGAGATTGTGATCAAACATACAGGCAGAGGCGACATGTCTGGAGACGGCTAGACTATGTGAAGGCGTGTGAACATTGTCCATAGCAAGATCTTTTTTTTCACATCTTATCTAACAAAAAACAAGTGCTGTAGCGTCTCAATATTGTGGGGAGGTTATAGGAATGGCAAAAGGTCCATCTCCTCATTGAGTCATAGAGCATGAATCCATTAAGTCTTGTTTTTTTTTTAACGGTGTCCTCCTCTGGGGTCCTGTGGGTCAACTTCAATCACCATGGCTTTTAAAGAGTTCAGTGTGCTGTGACCCACATATGTGTAATGTCTTGCCATGGGATACAAGTCATTATTTCTCCTTATGGCGTATTTGTGTTCAGCTAGTCTCTCTCTGAACTTTCTCTTTGTGCGTCCAATGTAGAAGCAGCCACATTCACATTCGAGTCTATAAACAACATGGGTAGTGTTACAGTTGGCAAAGACCCTGCACTCGAAGAGTTTTTGGGTGTAAACCTCCATGATCGTATTGGTTCTTGTGACGTTATTGCAGTGGGTCTGCTTCATAGCGAAGGAATTTAAGAAGGCGGGTTCCTGTGTTGTAAACAGGAACACTTAAACTAGTACTTAAACCACACTTTACACAAACATTTGACTCTTAAAACACACATATAACAACATAGAACCATCAACATCTCGCCTCCAATTGCATTCAAAGTGACATCCGAGTCTTAATTTGTTTTTTATTTATAAACATTTTTTAATTCACGGACCAATGTCCCACAGCTTGGTTTGATTTGGCTGAGACGCACGAGAAGGAGGTGCAAGCCCAACGTAACACCGGCGATCCTGATTGGCCAATTATTTTTTGAACTCCTGAACGAGTTTGCAATGCACTCAATCCCAGACCCTTGTGTTCAGCGAACGCCTCTGGTGAATCTGGTGAGGCACCCTCAGTGCAAGAAGGAGCGCTACCCCATGGCCTTTATCCCCACCGCTGTCAGACTGTACAATAAGTCACTTTAAGTCACTTGCACTAGGACTAAAAACCTGCACTACTGTTGCCACTGTTTCTTTAATTGTCACTTATTTATTGTACATAAGATATCCTGAACTATATATTTTATAATATGTTTGCACACTGTCTTTTGCACAATCTGAGTGATTCTATCCATGCCAAATGTGACATGTGCATTTCTCCTGTGTGAGATCAATAAAGTCTATCTTATCTTATCTCATCTTACAAGGGTCTGGCGAGAGTCTATGAAATAATAACTTCAGGAGAAAAAACATATGATGATATGATGTGGTATATAAATAAAGATTACATACTACTGTTGTAATGGCAAGCTCAGTTTTGACATAGATTCCCCAAACGTCTAATAAAAGATCCATAACTTGTTCTCACATGATCCATGGATAGTTTCATATCAAGATCATTAAGGACAAACTGTGGAAGCACGAATGCACCATAGGCCTTAAATATGCGTCCTTTCTTATTCTTTGAAATTGACCAAGTAGAGCAACAAGTTTGGTACAATTTTAAACCATTTTAAGATTTGTTTAATGTAACTTTGATCATAAACTGAGAGGGAGGGGGGAGACACACACTCTAATGTTGTTGTGGAACCGCACATACTGTATACAGCAGCAAAAAAATTATAATTAGTGGGAGGAATAAAAGCAAAGATAAAGGTGACATAATATGTTAAATCGACTCTGTTGAGATTTTAGTAATGTGACAATGTTGATCCCTTGTTATAAACAGACCTAGAGTTGTGTTTAAATCATCCATGCTAATGTCACAAACTTTAAAGCACAAACATGTAACTTCGCCCTTAATATTAAACAGCTCCGGCCTCTGTCCAGTCATTTTATCCCTATGACACTCACAAAGTATTCCCCCTAGATTCTTTATTGAAAGTTTATCAGGTGAAAATGGGTTCTTTACAATTGTATGTCAATGTTTACAGCTGGTAATTTTATTTCTAAATTAAAGGGAAAAAAACAAAATCGAAATCAACTCCTCCCTCTGGTGGTAGCATAGGGAGTAACCAACAAAACACCTTTTTTACTCTATAACATGGAAAGAAAAGTTAGTAGTCTCATTATCTTCTTGAAAGGAACAAAATAATGTGTCATAATTCTGCTCTAAGTAGGCTGCCCATTTCTGCAACCACTGAATGTAAACACAAAATTAATGAGTATCATACCAAGGTCTAAACTGTTGGATTCAGTCTATTTTAAAACCACATCGGAATACTACACAAAGATCTACAAGACATTATCAAGTATAGATATAACTGCTCTACTTAAAAAGACAGCATGTAATATGCACTGTGCAATAAATCCAGAATCCTTCCTGCTGGTGACATGTAGCTCTTAAGCGGTGATTACCGATGCAAACCACCTTCTGGAGTTTAGTTAGAAACTCTACAAGGTATGACTACTTATTTTTGTGTCTACTTTCATTAAATTAATGCGTGGTGCTAGTTTTATGTTTGTGAACTTTGTTATATAAAAAGTTTAAAAGCCAGCTGAATTTACCTGGCAGATCCTGGCAACCCAAATGGGAGAAAACACCGACTTTTTCATTTGAAATGGTTTCGCCTACACCAGTTACTGTGCCACAGTCAGAAGGGAAGCTTGTTGCTGAGTTCCTCTGCCACAGCTGTGATCACAGCAACTGTTTCTCCAAACACTGATAATAAAGATAAATATCAGCAGTGTGTGTTACACTGCAGTACTGTTAATGGTTCTATATCGACCAGCCCTAGTACATGGTGTCCATTGTATTTTTAATTAAGAAAAAATCCACTTTAAACTGTTGTCAATATGATTTGTACACGTTGACCTTTTACCTGGGGACACAACTAAACATGGAGACATAAAAAAATCCCCCATTAAGTCCCTTCAAGTAAGGGAGAAGAAGTATACACTTTATGTAACAAAAGTAAAATGCAGTTTGGTTTTTAGTGTTGGCTGGCAACACTTTGGCGATAAACCAAACAACTACTTAGAAGAACGGCTAACCACCTGTAAACCTATTGTCACACAAACTTTCCTCTATATTTGCACTGGTCTGTTTTATGCTATGTTATGCTGTTTATATACATAGTATTAAGACTTTGAAAACTAAATTCAAAGTTTTGTTCATCCCTGAGAGACAAATCAAGCACAATAATACCAGGTTATAGAAATAATTTTATTTCCATATAAAACAGCAATACTTTTTGATTATAGTCACGGGTTAAAAATATGGTATATTTTCAAACAATGTTAAACTAGGCTGCAATTGGATAACTGCGAACAACTAAAACCCACTTCTCTATAAAAAAAAGTCCCTTTATAAAAAACGTGCATGCTATAGTGCTTTTTTCCCATTTTGATGAAAAAGTACTGTGGGCTTTACAGATAAAAAAAACATGAAGTATTATAATCTAACAACAACTGTAACTAATGAGACCAAAACAGAACAACTTTGTGCTTCGGAAAACTTCACATATAGGAATATTGTATTTAGCCGCTAAAACGGTCTCCGCTGTAATAGCCATTGTACGAACTTTTATTGAAAGCAGCTGCAGCCGTGGTTAACACCACAGCGACGACAATAATCGCGATGACGATGGAAAGGCAGACGAGTACAGTGGAGATTATGTTCAGGGTCTTCGCCGTGTCTCCGTAGCTGCGAGCGCCTTCGATGTCCTTCACCACTTTCTTGTCCCGCGACTGAAATAAAAACAAAAAACATGTTCCAGATTTGTTAGGATGGCCCAAAAATTAAATATTTCTAATAATGTTTTACTAGTGACTCCATAGACTATATAAATGGCCTATGCTAACCTGCCACCTCAATGAAGCCCATTGGGGAAGTGCTTATGAATGAAGTCTTGCTCGAAATTGTTCTGCCTCCTATTGACGAATAGTAAACACTAAAGGTAATGTTTGTGTCGCACTCACCATCTTAGGCTTTTGAAATCTGTAGTTTAGTGCTCTCTGTGATGCTGTGAGTTATTTGTATTTGATAGTTTCTCTATAAATCAAGAAATGGGCCATAAGGATTAGCCAATCTCCCATTATAGCAACGCTCAATGTTGCATCTGCCACATTAGCGCTCGTAGATCACCATGGCGTCAGAAATGCCCATATAAGGAGATTGGTTCCTCTAGCTGATGTTCAAATCGACTTCTTCCACATTTTTTTATTTTATTTATTTATTTATTTAAAGGGACAATGCATATTAATGAACATGTAAATGTAAATATGCCAGAATTAGCCAATGGCTACTTTCCATCTGTAGTCCCTGGCAGATCAAGAAAATACAAAGACAAAAGATCATCACACAAATCATCCACACAATTAAACTGGAGACATAAAATAAAGATACTGGTCAGTGGTTACATGTCTGATTCCCCTTCAGCCAACCTTTAAGTTTAGTTTTAAATACTATGAATGTAGTACAGTCTCGAATTTCTGCTGGGATGCTGTTCCATACCGTGGTCCCTTTCACTGACAGCACCTGTTGACTAAACGCTGTGCGTCTATAAGGAACCACACAGTCACCTCTGGTGGTGGCTCTGGTCGCTCTACCACTTGTACTGGATATGAACTTAATGAATTCATTCAAGGATGGTGGAGAGAGTCCATGCAAAATCTTATAAACTGAACAAGCCATTTTAAATGTTCTAAAATTTTCAAAGTTTAGAATATTATATTTTTCAAGTATTAAGCAATGATGAAATGAATATGGTTTTTTATCAAATATTTTTAAAGCTTTTTTATATAGCGACTCAATTGGTTTTAAAGTAGTCAGACTCGTCAGTGACCAGTTAGTAATGCAATATTCAATATCCAATCCAATCCAATCCACTTTATTTCTATAGCACATTTAAACAACAGAACAGTTCCAAAGTGCTGCACAAAAAGTACACAAAAAATAGAATAAAAAATAAATAAATAAATAGTTAATTTATAAAATCAATAAAAATCATAAAACACAAAACAAAAATTAAAAAGACACAGGGACCACACAACTCACGCGGTGTTAAAAGCCAGAGAATAAAAGTGGGTTTTAAGACGAGATTTAAAACCCTCCAATGTTGTGGCTGTTCGGACGTGGAGGGGCAGAGCGTTCCACAGCTTAGGGCCGATGACGGAGAACGCTCTGTCCCCTCGAGTTTTACGTTTCGTCTTAGGAACCACGAGCTGGAGCTGGCCCTCAGACCTCAGAGCGTGCGTTGGGGTGTAGACTTCAATGAGGTCTGTGACGTACTGAGGGGCCAGTCCGTTTAACGCTTTAAAAACAAACAACAAAACCTTAAAATCAATTGTAAATTTGACTGGAAGCCAGTGCAAAGATGCGAGGATTGGTGAAATATGGTCAATATGGTAATATGGAATATGTGAAAAGATCATACAATGAAGAAACATTTTAGCTGCATTTTCTGGCAGTAATGTTCGGATTTGTCTAAAATTACGAAGATTAAAATTTACAATTTTACACATATGCTTAACATGATTTTTAAAAGATAACGTTGAGTCTAAGATAACACCAAGATATTTAAACTTGTCCACAATCTGTAGCTCCTCACCTTTTATAAATACATTTGAGCTTATTCCTGCTGTTGGGCGTTTGGAGAAAAACATACACACAGTTTTCTTTGAATTCAGTAAAAGACAAGACTTACTGAGCCACTCATCAATGCAACACATTGCTGAAGTCAATTTTTCGGGGACTTCGGCATTAGATTTTGCATTGGTAAAAATGACTGCATCATCTGCATAAAGCTGGGTATGGAAATGTGGACAAATATTTGGTAAGTCATTAATATATAATGAAAACAGTATGGGTCCAAGTATGGAACCCTGTGGAACTCCAACCTGACAGTTTAGAAACGTAGATTTGATACCACTGACTGTCACACAATGAGTTCGAGTTGACAGGTATGACTTCATCCAAGTTACGGCTTGTTCTGAGAAATTAAACTTTGTTAGTCTAGATAATAAAATTTGGTGGTCAACTGTATCAAATGCTCGCTTTAAATCAAGAAAAACAGCTCCAACAACAGGACAATAATCTAAACCATGTTTCACTTTTTCTAAAAACAGATTTATCGCACTTTCTGTTGAGTATTTGGCACAAAAACCAAACTGCATGGGATGCAGAGGCGTATGACCCTTGTCTAAATGAGTTGTCAATTGTTTAGCAACCCATTTTTCAATAATTTTTGAAATAATGGGAAAAATGCTAATTGGCCGGTAATTATTTACGTTATTCTTAATCCCTGACTTAAAGATTGGAGTAATTGTGGCAACTTTCCAAGATGTTGGTACAATAGAATGTCTAATTGATATATTTATCATACGAGTGATTGGACACACTAAAATATCTTTATGAGTCTTTATAAAATTGGCATCTATCCCATAGACGTCCTTTGCTTTAGAGTTTTTCAAACCTTTTATAATTGATGCTACTTCAGTCTCATTAATTTCTGCTATTGTGAAAATAGGTAAGGACTCATTCACCGGATAGGTGACATTTTCATGTAATGTAAAAAGTTGCGAAATTTCAGAGACTGAGTCTTTAAAAAAGTTATTAAATTCCATTGCCACAGTGACTGGATCTTTCACCAACTGGCTTTCAATTTGTAGTACTACTTCACTGTCTTTGTTGGCCCCTCTGCCAGTTATTTTATTTATGGTTTCCCAGACCTTTTTGCCATTACCATTGGCAGACTCAATAACTGACACATAGAAATTTGCTTTAGCTTTGCGCATTACTTGAATGACTTTGTTTCTAGCTGATGTGAATAGTTGCCTGTCTGAAATGAGTCCAGTTTTGAGAGATTTTTTAAGTAATATGTCCCTGGTCTTCATTAGATTTCTGCATTTTTCACCAAGCCATGGTAGGTTTGATTTACTGGTTTGATTTTTCTTCAACTTTTTTGTGAAGGAAGCTATGACCTCACTGATTTTGGAGTGGAAAGTAGTACTACTTATTGAAACATCACCGCATGCAACAATTTCATTCCAATCCGTGTCCTTCATGGCTCTTTCTAGATTTTGTAATTGATTTTTTGGGATAACATTATAAAAAGAAGAGCCATGATCAGATGTACAGGATCTTTTAAAACGCATTTTAGTTAGTTTCCTTGTAAAAAATATTGCGTTATGGTCAGAAAGACCAGTTAAAAAATTATATGTTTTTATGATTCGTTCAGCTTTATTTGTAAATAGTAGATCTATTGTGGTTTTAGATTGATTGGTTACACGAGTTGGCATTTCAACTAATTGGACCAAATTAAAAAGGTCAGTTACCCGTTTTAAGTTTTTCCTCTCTTTCTTATTATCCCAGTTAATGTTAAAATCACCAATAAATATTATCTCTTTATTTGGACTGCAGGACTTCAGAAGCAGCTTCAACTGATCATAGAATTCTACATTAGTTGAGGGTTTTCGATAGATGCAAATAACCTGGAAACTCATTTCCTTAGAGAGTTCAATATTTACCCCAACGCACTCGAGTGCAATTTCCTCAGGCCATATAATCTGTGAACATTTAAGTCTATCTCTTACATAGATCATAACCCCCCCTCCTCTACCTTGATCCCTGTCCTTTCTAAATACATTGTATCCTGCCATAGTTATGGCTGCCTCAGGTGAAGAGGTTGTTAACCAAGTTTCTGTGAACCCAATAAAGTCAACATTTGATTGAATCAATAAATGTTCCATTTGTTCTCGTTTTGGTATTATGCTTCGAACATTCAAGTGTCCACCCAGTAGACCTCTGGGCTTAAAAAGTGGGTCCCAAATAGTCCTTGATTGATTCAGTGTCTGAAAGAATTTTTGTGTACAATGTCTCTTCAAAATTGGATTTCGTTTTTTAGAGAGTTTTCCATATTGCAAATTAGCAGTTACACACTGCGAAGGCAATTTGGCCTGGCTACCTCTCATCTGGTCTTCTGTATTGCTGATTAGGGAATTAAAGTCTGTGATTAAATTTGTCTGACCTGATGAAGCCATCTCCTCCTTGGTGGTGGTTAATCTGGCAGGCGTTGAATGTACTCCAGATACAGGTGGAGGAGGCCCAGCCAGCAATGGAGGAGGCTCAGCTAGCAGTGGAGGAGGCTCAGGTACCAGTGGAGGAGGCCCAAGAAGCAATAGAGGCCCAGGTAACAGAGGAAGAGACCCAGGTAACAGTAGAAGAGGCCCAGCTAGCAGTGGAGGAGGCCCAGGAAGCAATAGAGGCCCAGGTAGCAGTGGAGGCCCAGGTAGCAGTGGAGGAGGCCCAAGTAACAGTGGACGTCCAGGTAGCAGTGGAGGAAGCCCAGCTAGTAATGGTGGGCATTCCATAAGCTCTGGGTGCAGCACAGTGAGTATTGGGTGTAGTCCAAGTAGCAGCTGTAATCCCTTTGTTGGTGCAAGAGATCCAGTTTGCTGATAATATAGTGGAGTTAGCCGTGTCTGTATAGCATCCATGTGGTCCAATGAATGAGGGCCAGGATTTATCTCAACATCACCCGCCAGGAGCAATATCATCATGAGATGTACAATACCCAAAAAAGGTTTAGATGATAGTCCATTTTTACCTGGAGGTGGTCTTGCATGGCCATCATCCAGTACTTTTGTGAAGAGAAAGTGGTGAGTCATCTTGGCAGGGCAGAGAACCTGATTTTTGTCCATTCTTCGGGGACATGTTAAGCACACCAACAGGTATAGAGATACAAGAACAAGTAACAGATAGGAAAATGACATTTGCCATGGTCTTTCTATGCTTTTAAAAAGCTTTTGTGGAGCACACACAGGAGCTGCCAGACTGTGTGACTGAACCACGGCGGCCATCTTGGTCTATCTCGGCTAATACTGTGTGTGACGTTACTTAGTTTACTCCCAACATATTGTCTATGATTCCCCAATTTTCTTTTCAAGTCAAAATACCTATTAGACAAATGCAAGTAAGCAAGCTGCATACACAAAAATCCATCCATTTTCTATTGGTTTGTCCACACACACTTCCCGGGCCAGCTGATAGACAGTCCCTCAGCCTGTCCTGGATCACCCCCGGGGGTCTCCTTCCAGTGGGACATGCCCGGAATACGCATCCTTTTGGTCATTCCCCAAAGCTAATGAGGTGAGGGTTCACAGTAAATTGAGAGCTTTCATTTCCAGTTCTGACCCCAAAATGTCAAAAATCAGACATAAATATGTGTAAATGTCTAATTTTCACTGATAAAAAAGTAAAAAAAAAGCTTTATGTGCGCCAAACTAAGACAAAATATCCCATAAAAGGCGCACAAACTAGTTTACTCAGGGGCAAGAATAGATTTGGGCTAAAACATCACACTGCCAAAATATCTAATCAGTTTATGAGTGTTTGTTTAAAGCTCATATTGGGCCTATTCTCTTTAGGATTTTATTTCCCTTTATGGAGATAATTTGACAAAATAAAAATCTAAAATGGATACTCTTTTCTAGTAATTCTTTGACCAAATTTAGTTATGTTTTTCTTGACTGTTGGGTGAGATTTTCCTTTTGTCTTTTTTAAAACAATTGTCTGTTGGGATGAATGATTTGAATAGATTTAAAAAAAAGATTTAAATGAGAAAATAATCTTTATAATTATATATTACATGCCATGGTAGCCCTAAGTATCTTCTGATCTAGAGTAATCAAGATAATTATTAGTTACAGTCGATAATATGTATCATATTATCGACTGTATCCATGGTTACAGCCCTAATAAAAATATTAATGCGAACTAGTTTGTAATAAGTAGAAAGACTACGGCCCCATCCTCAGCCGTGGTATGGGAATAGTCATTCTTTCGTAAAAAAAACACTCTCTTTCAAATCAATCCCCACAGACCAAAACTACAGTTTCACAGAGAGTCCAGCCGTTTGTTTGTACTCCCAAGAGATCCAAACAGATTATTATTGATTTTAAACAGGCGGTTTGGAAATAAAGGAGACACAATTACACCATGAGATAACATGACTTTACTTTGGCACATCCCACATTTAAGCCATAAAAAAATACATAACCTGGTGTTAAACATGAAGTTACATGGAAATTTGGATGACCGTATTATGTCTGTTTGAATCCCCCGGAACAAAAGCCTTCTCAGGTTACAGTTAAAATAGAGGAGTCTTTCGCAATGTGTTGATAGATTTCCAAATCACCAGTTTTTAGGGCTGCAAGATTATTCACAATCAAACTCTTAAAGACTGCCATTATTTCTAAGCCTTCACATCGAACACATTTATTAGGGAAAATATATCTTTGTTAATATATTATGATATTTTGGCAATCTATGCGCTAAATCACAGATTTTGAAGCCTAAAATGGCAAGTTACCAACTTCTGGTTACTGAGTTGGTAAAGTTTACCCTTCTCTGTATGTTTGTCAATAGGAGACAGAGCGAGCCAAACCTCGCCCATGGGCACTTCCCTATTGGGATTGATTGAGCGAGGGGGGTTAGCACATTTCATCTACAGTCTATGCTTTTATTTATTTTTTTTATTTTTTTTAATAGCTTTGCCTTGTAAAAAACTTGCACAACCTGTAACATTGTGCTATAATAAATACATAAATAAGTGCATGCTTGTTACGGCCTGTTATAAGAATGTTATAATGTTCATTGTTGTACCTAGTTTGGCTTGTATTTAACCCTTCTTTACCTCACCCACATGGATCCATGCTTTGAAGCAACAGGCTATAAAACAGTTTGGTTTTGTCTACATTTGGTTAGACGGACTGAACTAAACAGACTTGGGTTGTGATGTGTGTGTAGCTGTGCAAGTGTGTATTTGTAAAGCCCTGATCAGACACAGTTATGTTTTCAGGTGTAAATACTGTATACTGACCTTGACAGAGTAGATGAGAGCAGCCAGTCCCAGGCAGAACGGGTTGAAGTACAGACAACAGATGAAGGACCAGAGCACATGGTCCTTGGGCATCTCCCGCACCTCCTCCAGCAAGAGCGCATTATCTCCATCAACAAACATGTTCGCCCGCAGAGGGAGGCTGTCGGATGGGGAACTCATAGTGTAGATTTAAAGTTCAAGTAGTTTTAGAAGTAGTTGTAGTAGTAGTAATACGTGTTGCGTCTTCTCCCTCCGACAGGTATAAGGCGAATTACAGGAGACGTGCGGATATTTTATTGGTCGTCCTGAGATTTGGTTTCCATTTCCTGCGAAAAGGCTGCGTGTGACGCCTTCATGTCGTCTGGGAAAAACCAAAGACGCAGCTTTGCCAAAATGAAGGATACTTTTGTTGCTGTTGTTTTTGAATGTTTAAGCGAGTTCAAAATATGAGAATAAAACTATTGGATATTAGAAGTAAATGAGACTTAAAATGGGATTGGATTTGGATATTAAACTGGGGTACCTAACTTAAAAAAAAACCAATGCAATAAAAAATCCATCTAATTTATTCCTCAAAACAGTTTGGTTCTATCACTAGTTTATATACTTATACATGTATTTTTGGCCTCTATCACAGATACAAACAATGCACTAGACTCGAATGAAGCTAGTTTTGGGTCAGGGCAGATAAGAATGGGGCTGACTTCAGTGCAGGGCATGTCAAAAACAAAACCCATAAAACACTGGGGTTAAAGCTGGGGTACCTAACTTTCAAACTTTCTTCAAAGATATTTTTGCTTAAGGTCTTTTTTTAATACTTGTTATGTTCTCGAGATATTATCTATTGTCTACAATGATCATCTTTGTTCCCTCAAATAATAGCAAGCATGCAAGAATAAGAACAAATTATGACATGGGCTCAATACAAAACACATTCACAAACCAACAAAAAGTCATTTACAAAATATGAAAGTAAACAAAAAAAACATGGAGAGTGCAGATAACATATACAGTAATTGCTCCCAGGATTGATGTCTATTGGTATGTCATTTTCCTACTTCACCTCAGGCTTACAGTTTTCTCATATTCATGTGTTTCTCCACAGATCTGGCAAGACTCAGTACTGCTCCACTCCTCCTCCACTCTGCATAACTCAAGTTAACAAACACACTCACACTAACAAATCTCTCTTCTCCTTCTCCTTTTCTACCTTTTGTACTATGGCTGCTCTGTCGTTCTTCCCTCTTCACTTGCCACCCTCCTTTCAACTCCACCTGAGGAGCTCCTATTTGGTCTGCCTGCAGAGTTCCACATTCCTCTGCTGCCGCCTCTCCCTCTGCTCGTCCTGCTGTCTGTACTGCTGCCTCTTCTCCTTTTCTTCTTTAAACTCCTCTTTGGTTTTCCTGCGGGGCTCCCCTCTGGCTACACTCTCTGCTACTGCTTTCCTGCGGCTACTCCTCTTCTCCTTTCTGCTGTTTGTCGCTCTGATCCTCCTCGCTTGCTAACATCTCTTCCTTCATCTCTGACTTTTCTGCTCTTTCTCTCTGTGCCCTTCCTGATGTTCCTCCTGCTGTGTTCGTCTGTCATAACTCCTTCCTCTCTGTGATCATCCTGCTGCCCCCCTTACTCCTCCTTCTGCCTCTCTTGATGTCTTCTTTTACAACTGATGTTTATGCTCTTTCTCAATCTGTCCCCCTGCTGCTGCTCCTCCTGCTGCTACTATTACTACCGCTGCCTTTGCTCCCACTGCTCCCTCTTCTTCTCCTGGTGACCTCTCTTTCCTTTGCTCTGAGCTCATGCTTTTTCTGCTCTTTCTCTCTCTCTGCTTCTTCGTTTTACCCCTCCTCCTGCTGCACTCCTCCCTGCTGCTGCTTTCCACTCCCACTCCATGGGCGTCCTGAGGATGTTCTGTCACACACAGAACATATACATGCAGACAGTTCTGTTGAACTTGCTTATGCATTCAAAAACAACAGTATCCCTTTTGGGGATCAACGTGTTGGCAACGCTACCACTTTCCCAGAGGACATGAAGGCAGCCTCACACACAGCCTGGAAACCAAATCTTTGGACGACCAATAAATAATCCGCACACTTCCTATAATTCCCCTTATACCTGCATCGGAGGGAGAAGACGCAACTACTACTACGACTTCTACTACTGCTCCTAGTAGACTTTAAATCTACACTATGAGTTCCCCATCCGACAGCCTCCCTCTGCGGGCGAACATGTTTGTTGATGGAGATAATGCGCTCTTGCTGGAGGAGGTGCGGGAGATGCCCAAGGACCATGTGCTCTGGTCCTTCATCTGTTGTCTGTACTTCAACCCGTTCTGCCTGGGACTGGCTGCTCTCATCTACTCTGTCAAGGTCAGTATACAGTATTTACACCTGAAAACACAACTGTGTCTGAACAGGGCTTTACAAATACACACTTGCACAGCTACACACACATCACAACCCAAGTCTTTGAGGGAAAACGTGAAGTTAAGGCAGTCTGACCAAATGCAGACAAAAGAAAACCAAACTGTTTTATAGCCACATGCAGCCTGGATGTACTACCCACTAGATTTCTGAAGTCTGTTACCTTCACTCTGTGAAGGTAACAGACTCTGAGCAGTCTGTTACCTTCACTCACACAGATAGTAAACATGTCCCTTCATTCTGGAATATTCCCAAAGGCCCTGAAAACGGCAGTCATCAGGCCCCTGCTAAAAAAAGCAGTCTGGATGGTACTTAACAACCATCGTCCCATCTCAAATATGCCATTTATTGGGAAAAAATCCGTGAGAAAGTTGTCTACCTACAGCTTACTAGATTTCTTATAATCAACAACTCATTTGATATGTTTCAGTCCGGCTTTAGACCCCACCACAGCACTGAGACTGCTCTCGTTAAGGTTACAAACGATATCCGGCTGAACACTGACGCAGGCAAAGTCTCAATCTTAATCTTGTTAGATCTAAGTGCTGCCTTTGACACTGTCGACCATGAGATCCTCTTACAGAGACTAGAGGACTGGGTTGGCCCTAAGTTGGTTTAGGTCTTACATTGAAGACAGGAAGTACTTTGTGGAGATTGGAAACTGTGTCTCAGATCATATGGCCCTGACCTGTGGAGTCCCACAGGGGTCGATCCTGGGACCTCTTCTGTTCAATCTCTACATGCTGCCGTTAGGTCAGTTAATACGCAGAAACAAAGTTTCCTATCATAACTATGCAGACGACACTCAGATCTATGTCTCACTGACTGCAGGAGAACATGGACCAGTGGACTCACTCCTTCACTGTATCCAACAGATCAGTGAGTGGATGCAAAACAACTTCCTTCAGCTAAACGCAGACAAAACTGAAAGGATTGTCTTTGGTCCCCAGAAACAAAGAGAGAGCGTCATCTGTCACCTACAGTCTCTCTCCCTAAAACCTTCAAACAAGGTCAGAAATCTAGGGGTAATACTGGACTCAGACTTAAATTTTAATAGCCACATCAAAACAGTAACATCAGCAGCTTTTTACCATCTAAAAAACATTGCCAGGATCAAAAACATAGTGTCTAAAGCAGACCTGGAGATTCTTATCCATGCATTTGTCTCCAGTAGGTTAGACTACTGCAATGGCCTGCTCACAGGTCTGTCCAAACAGGCTGTAAAACAGCTGCAGTACATTCAAAATGCAGCAGCTCGAGTCCTGACTAGAACCAGGAAGTACGACCACATTAGTCCTGACTAGAACCAGGAAGTACGACCACATTAGTCCGGTCCTCAGGTCTCTGCACTGGCTTCCTGTGGCTCAGAGAATAGACTTTAAAACAGCTCTGCTTGTTACAAGTCTCTCCATGGCCTCGCACCAAAATATATTAGTGACATGTTAGTCCCATATGAACCAGCCCGGACTCTGAGGAGCACAGGGACTGGACTCCTGTTAGTGCCCAGAGTCAGAACTAAACATGGGGAGGCTGCTTTTCAGATTCATGCTGCTAAAATCTGGAACAATCTTCCTGAAGATGTGAGACAGGCCTCCTCTCTGACAATGTTTAAAACCAGGTTAAAGACAGTTCTGTTTAGTTGTGCATACAACTGAGGGATTTTATATTTGTATCTTTCTTTTTAATGTTCTGTGATTATTTATGATTTTTATGCTTTCTTATTTTGTTCAGCACTTTGAATTGCCAGGTGTATGAATTGTGCTATACAAATAAACTTCCCTAGCCTGTAACTTTCATGTGGGTCAATTGTTCCCTATTGGGTGCTCTGCTATTGACAGTAACCAGTAACCATACTTGCTACAAAAATGTGATATTTTGTCTCAGTTTGACCCACATAAAGCTGATATTTTTTTCATAATATGAACATTTACACAGACTGATATCTGATTTTTGAAATTCTGCTCTGTTTAAAAATCACATCTCTCAGCATATTCTTGTTTTGACATCTATTTATAGCTTTTGTCAGTTTACCCTGACAAAACCTCTTAACAGATGCCAAAACAAGGCTTCTGGTAAATTTGGAGCAATACTAATACTTACGTGGCAATAAAAATGATTCTGATTCTGATACTATATATATATGTGTATATATAGTCTATGGAGGCAAATACTTTACTTTACAAGTTCACTAGTAAAAACATCAGAAATATTTATTTTTCAGGCCATTCTATAAAAATGTTTTTCAGGCACGGGACAAGAAAGTGGTGAAGGACATTGAAGGCGCTCGCAGCTACGGAGACACTGTGAAGAGCCTGAACATAATCTCCACTATACTGGCCTGCCTTTCCATTGTCATTGTGATTATTGTCTTTGCTGTGGTGTTCACTAGCCTGGTTGCAACCAAACATTAGCCCAACCTATTTATTTGTATTTTATATATATATTTAAAAAAAACATATATATATATAGGGTGCAGCTCTGACTGCCACCCCCCGACGAAATGGATGGATGGAGCTTTTCTGTGTAGTGAAGCTGAATTTATTGTAGCTTAGCTCACCACACAAATCAAGTAGCTTGCCCATCACTGAATAGCACCATACATTTATTTAAATGAAAGTAGATACAAAAATAGATTATCACACGTTCAAGATTTCTAGCTAAACGTCATCAAAAAATAGATTTTCAAAAGGACTGAAATTTTGATTTTATTTAAAAGGAAGAAGAAGAAGAGAGACAACCAAAACCCAAGTACTTGAAAAGTGAGACAAGTTTGGGCCTGTCCACACCACTGTACACACAGAGACATATTGTTTATGCCACAACGCCCACGGCCCATTGAGCAAAACCTGAAAAGAGGTCAGGTCCTTTTAAAGAGTTTTACATATTCCATCACGAAATTTTGATAACGAAGGTAACATCCATGCTCCCCAACTACCTATTGATATTTCTAATATCTAATAAAATTACATAGGATTTTTTAGTGGAGCCGAGGTTCTATCATGGATCTAATATAATATGTATTTATAATAGATTGATGGGTTCATCTAACAGAATTTAATATGAATTATATTACACAGTTACCTGTGAAAGGTCTATTTATAATTTGTTTTGTGAGGATGCGTTAAATGGAAGATTTCCGGTATATATGATATCCACGATATGGATATGGTAAAGTGATTATTTCATAGAATAAAGTTTGAAAAAACAAAAAAACGAAGTCTTGAAGTTACTATTGTAAAATCTAGTACTAATGATGAAGGTAATGTTGTGATAGTTTATAATCCGCAGTCTCTGTGCGGTACACCGGTGAGCAGAGTGGCGCAGCGGAAGCGTGCTGGGCCCATAACCCAGAGGTCGATGGATCGAAACCATCCTCTGCTATACGTTTTAGAATCTACATTTCGATGCATTTTATAAAACTTTTTATTATAACTACGCTTATTCTATGGCCTGTTCCAAAATTCCTTAGCGTACACCCGGAAGCAGAAACCCATCAGTAAATACAAACGAAAAGGGTTTTTTTCTACTTATGTTCTAAGACTGTACAAACGCGTGAATCGATCTGAATTCTTTCTACTTTTATTTGTATTGTTATATCGTGTAAGTTTACAAAAACATATTTCCCCAAAGTAAAAGAAAAACGATGGAAACAACCAGGGTGGTTGTAAACATTCAGCAGCAGGGGTCACTGTTCGTCTTTAAAACACAGTCACTTACATTTAACTTTTCTTTTTTAAATCTCATTTTTACATTTTGTATTCTGCTATTTAAAGCAAAGGTTCGAGACTTTCAAATTACACAAAAATAAATATAATAAAACTAATGTAGTTCCTGGCTCTAAATAAGTTTGGTTCTAACACTAAAGCAATATGTTTTCTAATACAATAAAAGACAGATGGTTGTGGACTGATTTAATCACAAAAAAGGAGCGCAGAAAGATTGTGACCATGTAAAAGCAAATATGCTCAAAACACATATTTGTTTTGCACCAGCACAACATGGAGCAGGTCTTTGTTTGCATGTCTTTGTGGATATAACCTGTGATCGGCGTCATGTTAGGTCATAATGAACTATGGAAGTGACTCTGGATCCACACTAGAACTAAACTCCAGACAATCTGAGGTGTACCCAACATTGTTATTTCTCATTCTGATTTAAAACCTGTTAATTATTCTTTGTTCTTTGATACAAAACAATTATGGGCTAGATTGCTGTGTGTATATATGCAAATGATGACTAAAATGCACAAAGAAACAGGTGAGTCTAGCAACAGGTTTGCAAGAATATGTTCATGTGACATTGCTATAATCCAAAAAGCCTGTAGTTTATGATTATTGTAGTCTCTCATTGCAGGTTTTGAGGGTAAACTCTTTTCAACTCTCAGAACTTCAGTCTTGTTGGTTCTTGGCAGCTTCAGGCATGGGTTTAGAAAAAGTCATTTTGCAGAGTACCTTTAACATTGTGGTGGACGGAAACAACAGACAGATTGGTAAGATCTCAAAACAATACAATATTCTAACCAGTATTGGCTTAGCTCGTGCTCGGAGTCAGAACTAAACAGAGAGGCAACATTTGAATAATAAAGTTTAGTAACAATAAACAACTCGGTCATATTGGATTTACTTGATGACAGCTTTGTGGTTGCTTAACGTTATCAATTAAATCCAACACATTACTTGGAACATTCTTCCTGAACATGTGAAACAGGTTTCTACTCTGACAATGCTTGAAGCCATGTTCAAATAGTAATGTTTAGCTGTGCACATGTGAATGATCTTCACTCTTTTAATGTACTGTGATTATTTCTGATTTTATTTGAGTTGCCTTGTTTTTGAAATGCACTATACAAATAAAATGTCCTTGCAGCTTTAACCAATTAAGATGTTAGTTTATCCACCATGTGTTTTTACAGAGCTGGATGGACAGAGTGTAGTGTCAGTAGATACACGATACCTTAGTGCACATTCTTACAATTGCTATATTACAAATGCATATATATATAGCCATCGTGTTATTGTTTATCAGCCTATTTACTCATTAAAGCGACTCGTGTGCGACCTTGGTCTATGAAATGTGCTCTTTAAATAAAGATTACTTACTTATTTACGTGCCAGTCCTAAATACACTTCAGAAGCTATATCATTTCCTTAAGTAAGATAACAATGATTGCAATCACTGCCAGATAAGTGTGAATAAAACAAATATAATTATAATGTATAATTTTCCTTCAGGTATAAGGCCTCTGTTGAAAGTTAAGAAGACTCAACATAGTTCTAATTAAATCCTTTGACTTTCTGCCCAAAACTGAGCGTCTTAACTTCTGCGCATTCGCTCTCCTCCTGCTGCATGTCATTTCCTGTGATAAAAAATGGTGGCCAGTGTTCGGAGAGGCGACTAGTCCTCTTGGCTAGAAGCTTTTCGCCTTTTCCCCAAGTGGAAAGTTTGTCCCCGCGGCGCTGAGCAGAAGGTGAGTCCGTTTGGCCGCACGCAAAGAGGCGGACAGACGCACGCACGGCTCCGGACCGCGGCGACTGCGGTGACCAGAGAGAAAACTGAAAATGGCTTCCGAAAACTGCAGCAGCTTGCCACCCTCCGCGGTTTCTGCTCGCCACGCAGGCTCTGAATGCGGGGGAAAAAAAATTAAAATAGAGCCAAGGGAATCTGAATGGGAGACGTGCGTCGCAAGCCACTAGCGTTTGACGCACTGAAGTTTGGAGGCTGCTTCTGTGCAGGAGAAATGCTGTTTCTAAAAAAGAAAAATGCACAAGAGTTTACGGCGCTGCAGAGTTTTTTTAAGCGTGGGCGAATTAAAGAAACAGTGTGTTTTGTAGCAATGGCCTTTATCTCCTTGAATAGAATAGTGTCGTGCATGCACTGAAGTTTATCTAGTTACTTTTTATCACTATAATTCATATTTTTCTTTTAGAAGTAACGCAGTAATGTGACCCATTTAACACGGTATTATTAGGGTGTTAGTTACAATCGAAGTACTTGCAGATTTAGTTGAAAGAAATCAGAAAGTAAGTCATTTGAAACAACACTAGACTGACTCCTTTTACACACAGTTAATGTAAAATGTCTTTTTACATGTATTGTTCGAATACAAATGTGTTACAAATGCCATCTTTCTTACTACTGGTAATATGATATATGATACATTACAAATTTACAGTAACCTTTCTGACAGTGGTGTTTGTTATGGAAATTTTTGTTTGTTGCATTTGTCAATGTAAATATATCAAGCAATCAATACAAATTTATTTTTAAATCACATTTCATACAAAAAGCAACCCAAAGTGCATCACAATGACATTTAAAACCAACAGTCAGCAAATAGCTGATAATCTATACTTGATATTTTTTCTCTGAGAAATGAGAGAGATGAAAAATGAGGACGTGCGTGTGTGTGCGTGTGCGTGCGTGCGCATCAAAACATAACATTGTTTTGTGCCATTATTCTTCACAAAATGTGATGAAAATGTAAGTCACATTTCAGAATCCTTTCGCAGGCCAACATTGTGGCTCCCCTGCTACTACTGATTAGCAATTTAAAACAAGGACCTCATCATGTTATGTTGCCATTATTCTGAAGTTGTTACTGGTGCTGAGTCCAATGTAATAAAACCATGAATCCAAATCCTCCTCACGAATTTCTGAACTTCCCCGGTGTTGTTTCCACAGCGTTGTTTCCACAGCGGATGCAGAGCTGGAGTGGACTATGGTTCTATCATGAGTGAGCTGCCACTGGACCTCTGGTGTGAGTCATTTCTCCACTTCAAAACTCAATAACTAAGAATAAGAAATTGTATTGTCATGAGAAATTCCTAAAAATAAAGGCAGTACTGAGTTTGGAAAAGTTTTTGTTGTGATTAATGCCAGAAGCTGATGACATTAGCATGAATGGAGCTAAAGTTGACTTCTGTTTTTTTTTTAATGAGGGGACATGCATTATTTAAATCATGCATTAAATGTTCCAAAATTAGCCGTTTGTGTCCTTTTAAAGCTAAGGTACCTAACCTTTGTATTTGTCACAACAGGAAGAGTCTTGTGAAAGAAAAATGTGTGTCTTCATTAGAAGACATGTTATCTCGTGCAAACTTTTAGTAAAGAGCCTGTGAAAACTAGTCCTCGATACAAATTGTTTCGAGAGCAGTTTTTCACCGTTCCAGTTTTTGCATTTTAAAAGTTAGGTACCACAAGGTTAACTTGTAACAGCCCCTTTATGAGCACCTCTTCTTGTGTCTGATAAGAGGATAAAGTTTTCTTTGTGTTTTCAGTCTGTGAGCAGTGCAAGCTCCACTTTGCAGACCGCTGTCCCACACACGGCCCCCCTGTGCTGGTCCGGGACACTGCGGTGGCTGTGGGGACTGTGGGCAGGGCCTCGCTCACTCCCCCTGCTGGTGTGGAGGTCTTCACTGAGGGACAGAAGGTCGACGTCCGCTGCTCTGGCTCTGGGTTTCCTCTTGGGACAGTGTTTGGCCCCTACGAGGGAGAACTGGTGACTAAAGATCGGTCTTCTGGCTTCTTCTCTTGGATTGTAAGAGTCTTTTTTTGTGCTGCAAGTCAACCCCCCTTTTAGCAGATTTCACTGGGAAGAATTACACTACCATAGGAGTTAAGGAAAATCCAAATATTTGTAGTCTGAAGGCATAATGGAGGCTTGTATGAGCTTTTATGAAAAAAAATTCTTTCACAGATTGTGGATGCGGACAACACTTACCAGTCAATTGATGGCAGCGATGAGACCAAAGCAAACTGGATGAGGTAGGTCCATGGCTTTCCTCAGACTATCCCAGGGATAGTGGGTCACTTTACTGCTGTTTTTCAGTTTTTCCCATAAACCTTAAACATACACAAAATGATATACTTTCAGTTTGGTGAGAGTCTTGGAATGGACTTATTTTTTACGTTTTCCCAGGTTTGTGCACACTTCTTCGCACCATGACAGAAACCTCACAGCCTTTCAACACGGTAAACAGATCTACTTCAGAGCGAGTCGCCCCCTGGTGGCTGGAGACCTGCTCAGAGTCTGGTACAGCCCTGAATACATCCAGAGACTGCACAGCGTGTCCCAGAAGAAAATCCACCGCACGCTACATACGGGTGAGAATACGTTTCGTTTTTAACGTTTTTAACTTTGTTACAAATCTATGTTAATATCAGGAAAACAAAGCGGCACACGTGTCCCATTTTAAAGATATTTTTATGCCATGACAAATCCACAGACAATGGACAGATGTTTTCTGCCTTTGCTCCAAATAAAAGTAAGTTTTTACAACTACACGGTACAGCACTCTTGGTTCTTAGCAAGAAAGTCATGTGGTCCTTTTTGAGTGTTGTTTGCATGTTCTCCTTGTGTCTGCATAGGTTTACCACTATAAACATGTCCTTACCAATCCTCAGACACTGCACTATTGTCTCTTTTTAAACCTTTAGGTTCCAAAGTTGGGGAATTGCTTTGTGCACCTGAATTCAGGACACTGGCTTCACACAAACATATTGGGCCTCATTCACGAATAACTTCGTAAGAAACTTCTCAAATTTCTTCTCAAGTTGTCCTTAAGTAGATTTCTAAGAAGTCCCTACGTGGGATTCATCAACGCACTCGTAAGCCGCTGAATTGTTCGCAGCTGTTCTCTCAGATTGATGAATCCCATTTCCTCGTAAGTACAGCGCGCGTGCCAGGTGCTTCATTAGCATAGGTACTTAGCATAAGTAACCGCCCATTAATGCCCATATAAGGGACTGCAGGGCCGTGTGCAGACGGCAGAGGAAACAGCAACAGGCCTAAAGCAAAGAGTTACACGGAGCAAAAGAGTCACCCTTTTTTCTTCTTTTACCAGACTGAGAATAAAGTTATAAAATGTTGACTTAAAAGTCGAAATATTATGATAATAAAGTCGAAGTAGCAAAATTATGAGATTAATCTAAGAATATGATGAGATTAATCTCAAAATGTTATGAGCTTAATTTAAAAATATATTATGTATTATTTTAAAGATGAATCTCAAAATGTTTTGAGATTAATCTCAAAATATTTTGGACCCTGGGAGGAGATCCAGCGCAGACCAGCGCTGAGACCAATGCAGACCCGAGGAGAGACTGGAGTGACCAGCACACAGAAACCAGCGCGGACCTATAGGAGAGACCGCATAGACTGGAGAGACCGCATAGACTGTAGTGACCTGACTGGAGAGACCGGTGCGCAGAGACCAGCGCGGACCGAAGAGAGACCGCATAGACCAGACTTGAGAGACCAGTGCAGACCCGTAGAGACCAGTGCAGACCCGTATGGATCCATGGGAGAGACCAGTGCAGACCCGTCTAGATCCATGGGAGACACCAGCGCAGACCCGTATAGATCCATGGGAGAGACCAGTGCAGACCCGTATAGATCCATGGGAGAGACCAGTGCAGACCCGTATAGATCCATGGGAGAGACCAGTGCAGACCCGTATAGATCCATGGGAGAGACCAGTGCAGACCTGTATAGATCCATGGGAGAGACCAGTGCAGACCCGTATAGATCCATGGGAGAGACCAGTGCAGACCCGTATAGATCCATAGGAGAGACCAGCGCAGAGACTCAGCGCGGACCCAGTAACCTCCTGCAGCAGCAGTATATATGCCGTTGTTCTGTGGCCCGTGGATAAAGAAATGCCCCCTATAAATAGGAAGGGGTCACTAATACACGGCAAGATTTCCAATGTATTTGATAAAGCGTTGGCACATTTCATTTCAAAATGAATTAAAAAGTAGGCCAGATCTGCAGTGAAAAAGGTGGTATATAAATAAAGATTACTAATAAAGATTACTACAAATAAATAAATACATACATCGATATGACGGACATATCACTGGAATGTTGTATTTTTATTAAACTTCACCAAAGAGGACAACCCCCGCATGTGAACATGTCGGCACTGAATGCGTACGAGTGCTCCTGAGGACTCGTAGGATTTGTACTTGCCCAAGAGAAATTCTGGTTACGAGAAAAATTTGTGAATGCCACTTTCTTCGTAAAAACCTCGTAAGTAGGATTTACGTACAAATCTGTTCCTAAGAACCGTTCGTGAATAAGGCCCAATGTTCTTATATTTATTTTTGTGATTGATTTTAGTCCTTCCCCTTGTTTTACCCTAAACCTTTTGTTTATTTCACATCAAATTGTTTTATACTATTTTTCGAACCATTTAATTGTCTTATTATTAAAGTAGATATATTTTAAGAAATGTGTTTTGACAATATTTGATCACACAACATAGCTCCTCCTCAAAAACAGACCTGGAGTTGTTTTTAGATCCGAAAGTTCCCGTCTCTGTCTTGTACTAGTATGAATATTTATCCAATGAAATGACATCTACAATGAAATTTGAAACAAAACAGAATCTATTCCTCTATGGAAGATTTGTTGTGTCATCAGATTTTGAATTTTTTTTAGCTTGAATTTTTCCGTTTTAAATTTTTAACTCTGAAAAAGCATGTTTGAATATTTTTATCTTTGCATTTCAATCACTAAAAATTCAGTTTACGAATTTCAATGTGAGTAAAATTTCAAAATGACATATTCACCTTCAAAATATTCACAAAAAAATAGTTTTCAATGAAAAAAAAAAAAGACGGATTATTTGTTCCATCAGAAATTTAATTTTAAATGGACCTGAATTCATCTATTTGAATGTTAAATTCAACAGTCAAAATTCAACGAGAAAAAATTCAATGGTGAAAAATGCACATGACACATCCGGTGTTCTGACGAGTTGTGTGCTGCGCATAATGAACTCTGTTTTCTCTTCACTGATGTTGGAATCTCTCGTTATCTACATTAGACCCTTTAGAACTAATGGAGATTTTGTTAACTTAGAATATTTACGTTACCGTCACTTTAAGAAAGAGAGAGGGGGTTTTCTTTGTTTACGGAGCGAGTGGAGCCGAATGAGAACGTAACTTTTCACAGCTCAAGAAATAAGCAGCCATACGGTGTTCTGACCGTTGTTACTTTATTTCAGAGACAACTCAGCAAATATTATTTAGTGTACAAGAGTTCGAGCTGTGGAGTTTGAATTTGAGTTTATTTATTTAAGTGTCATGCACAAAAGTGCCCAGCCCACATGGGCTTATATGACACTGAACAACAACATCTGATGGCTACAGACCATATACAGACCATATACAGACCATATACAGACCATATACAGACATGAAAAACAGAAAGATTTACAATTTGGTGCATTATCCAGGGTACAGAATCAGTTGTCTCCTCTCCCAGGCTTTAGCAACAAAAGAAGCAAAGGCAAAAACTTCATGGCAATACATCCAGTTCATAATTTCTCCCTCATGTGGAATACATTTTTTTTGTTAATTCCTTTACATGGAGCTCTTTTTCAAGTAACACGAGTGAGCCCTGTGGAAACTGCTACACGGGAAACTAGACCCAAATACTGTGTAACGTAACCAACAATAACACTGTCCTTTGTTGCTATAAATGTTCAAATGTGATGGTTTTCATGAACACAAACAAACAAACACAGCCTAAATAAATAAACAGGAATATACAGAAATAATGATTTGAAACGAGCACATTCACCCAAAATGTTCAAAAGACTAACTCATCAAATTAATGTAGTATCATCTTGTTAATCCCCTTGGTTTCATTACAATCCATTCATTAGAAATCCCAAATCAACCTGTTAGATTCATGTTATCAACCTGTTAGATTCATGTTATCAACCGATAGACCTGCTGAAAGCTAGGCCTGTCTTTACCTCAGTAACATGACGCATGCGCAGACCAACTGACAGAGCAACTGACAGAGCAACTGACAGAGCAACTGACAGAGCAACTGACAGAGCAACTGACAGAGCAACTGACAGAGCAACTGACAGAGCAACTGACAGACCAACTGACAGAGCAACTGACAGACCAACTGACAGAGCAACTGACAGACCAACTGACAGAGCAACTGACAGAGCAACTGACAGAGCAAACTGACAGACAACTGACAGACCAACTGACAGAGCAACTGACAGACCAACTGACAGAGCAACTGACAGAGCAACTGACAGAGCAACTGACAGACAACTGACAGAGCAACTGACAGACCAACTGACAGAGCAACTGACAGACCAACTGACAGAGCAACTGACAGACCAACTGACAGAGCAACTGACAGACCAACTGACAGAGCAACTGACAGACCAACTGACAGAGCAACTGACAGAGCAACTGACAGAGCAACTGACAGACCAACTGACAGAGCAACTGACAGAGCAACTGACAGAGCAACTGACAGAGCAACTGACAGACCAACTGACAGACCAACTGACAGAGCAACTGACAGAGCAACTGACAGAGCAACTGACAGAGCAACTGACAGAGCAACTGACAGACCAACTGACAGACCAACTGACAGAGCAACTGACAGAGCAACTGACAGAGCAACTGACAGAGCACAGAACTCGTCAGAACACCGGATGTGTCATATACATTTTTCACCATTGAATTTTTTCTCGTTGAATTTTGACTGTTGAATTTAACATTATGAAATTGATAATCAGTGACAGAAATTCACAGAAAAAAATATTCAAGATGTTAAAAACATTCAAATAGATGAATTCAGGTCCATTTAAAATTCAATTTCTGATGGAACAAATAATCCGTCTTTTTTTGTTTTTCATTGAACATTTTTTTTTGAATATTTTGAAGGTGAAAATGTCATTTTGAAATTTTACTCACATTGAAATTTGTAAACTGAATTTTTAGTGATTGAAATGCAAAGATGAAAATATTCAAACATGCTTTTTCAGGGTTAAACATTTCTAACGGAAAAATTCAAGCTAAAAAAAATTCTAAATTCTGATGACACAAAAAATCTTCCATATTCCTCCCTCTAGTGGTAGCATATGGAGTTACAGGTGTTTCACCATATATTTATTCTTCTGAATTCTTCTTTTTGAATTATGCATAGAATCCATTTTATTTATAATTTTCATGTTTTACTCAATCATTGCATAACATGTGTTCTTTATTTGAATAAAGCTTTATAACTGAACGAAACGTGTGCAGGTTCTGAAGCACCACCCAACATTACAACAAGGGAAGACTTGGAAGACCCGCCTCCTGCAAAGAGAAAGAAACTCCAACTGACTTTTGAAGACGTCTCAGAGGAAAAGTATAAAGTTCCTTTGCTCCTGAAGGCAGCATGTAAACTCCCAGCGCAGAACCAGGCCTTGAACTCACCACATGAGAGTTTGTGTGGGCTTGTGCTGAAGCAGGAGGAACCGTCCACGTCTTTTTGCCCAAACTGCGTGAAGCTGAAGCGTAGAGTCGCCGAGCTGGAGGCGGAGATAGAGCGTCTCCGGGAGCAACAGGCCGCGCCCACTCAGGACCTGCCCCCTTGTATGGAGCAGGCGCCAATAGAAGAGTATCATGGTGAGGCTCGTAAAACACCACATTAAAATGAAGCGATTTAAAATCAGTCTAAAAGTCTGATACTTTTCAAATGGTTAAGATGGAAAGACGTTTTTCGAATGCTAGCTCCATTTTGACCCGCCCCCACAGCTTTCTGATTGGATGCAATGAATTCAAATCCTTGATAGACAAGAACAAGAGTTTTTAAATAGTATTACAGTTTTATTTTTGAAACATTTTAATTGTATTACAAGATTCAGATTCAGATTCATTTTATTAGCCATGTGCAGTATAAAAACTACATTGGAATACATTTGCAAAAAAAGGTACTCTGTGTGCACCAACAGAATAAAAAGCACGATACAATGTAATATAAAATACACATACACTGAATATAAAAGAATAAAAAAACAGCTGACACTGTGGCACCGATCAACAAAACGATACAAGGGGTAAAAGCAGGAATTAAAGTGCTCTGTTTAGGCACCTAACAGCCTGTGGAAAGAAGCTGTTAGCATAGCGAGATGTCTTGCATCTCAGCGACCGATATCTTCTGCCAGAGGGAAGAAGCTGGAACATGGCTTTCCCAGAGTGGCCAGAAGAGTCATTAACAATCCTAAGAGCTTTGTTTAAAAGTCTGAACTAAAGAACCTCCAGAACAGGAAGCTCACAGCCCACGGTCCTCTTTGCAGAGCGGAGCACCTTGTTTAAAGCTCTCTTTTCTTTATCTGTGATGTTTCCAAACCACACAGACACAGAACCAACAAGTAAACTCTCAATGGTGCAGCGATAAAAGTTAAGCAGAATCTTAGAGTTAGTGGTAAATTCTCTAAGGTTCCGCAAAAAGAAGAGCCGCTGACGTGCTTTCTTAACAACCCGGTTAGTATTTTTGTCCCATTTCAGGTCGTTAGACAGAGTTAAACCCAGAAACTTGCTCCTCTACGATCTGCACCTGGGAGTTGTCAATAACTACAGGAGTGTGAGAACTGCTACGACTGAAGTCATAGACAAGTTCACATGTTTTTGCAGTGTTCAGCTGGAGATTGTTTACTTTACTCCACTGAAAAACATGTTCGATCTCTTCTCTGTAAGAGGAATCATCAGTGTCACTGATGAGACCGATGATGGTGGTGTCATCAGCATATTTAATGATCAAGTTTGAGTCAGAGGAGGACACACAATCGTGAGTGTACAAAGTAAAGAGCAGAGGACTCAAAATACATCCCTGAGGAGAACCAGTGCTCACAGAAACAACATCAGAAAAACAGTCATTGATTTTTACTCTCTGAGATCTGTCAGTTAAAAAGCTAAAAATCCATTTACACATGGCAACATTCCGACCAAGGGACATTGGTTTTTCAACCAATATGCTTGGGACAAGACAATTAAAAGCAGAGCTATAATCAATGAACAGCATTCTCGCGACAGGATAAAATCATAAAAGGGTTAAAAATGTGTATTCGAGTAAAAATAAAATACAATTGAAGTTGTAGATGTCCCCTTTAAATGAGATATCAACTGGGCCTATATTTTAAGCCTTAACTACTTCCTCATTTGGTACCGTGATATATTGTACGTTATTTGAAAAGTAATATTCTCAGGAAAACAACTAAACAACCTAAAACTGTGTAAGTTAGAATTCATTTGAACATTTAAAACTACAAATTTTTTTCAGACAAACCTATACAAATCAAATATAATATACAAACCAATGTTCAGTAAAAGTAAACATGATACATGAAATCGGTCCAAAAAACTTCATATAAGCAAATACACAAATATTACTTATGAACAAACTTAAATAAAACTCTGGATGCTTTCCTCTATCTCCCATTGTTATCCATAATATAATGTGATAACCTATAAAATAAAAATATACACACAGAGACACTGGTGAAAATGATTTAGGGCGGGGCAGACAATAAACACAGGGCAACAGGACAAGAAATAAAACAAAAAAAAACACAGAACTAATGTTAAAATAAAATCTAGTACCAAAATAACCAAATCCATACCATAATAAATATGCTTGTTTTTCATTAGCCTTCACACTAATTTTATTTATTTGCAAAAAATAAAACACATAATGCCATCGGCTATTTTAAAAAACACGCTGTTAATTAGTTAGTAATAGTCTTACTATGTTTTTCTAGCAGAACATCATTCCCTACTGCGACCAGTAGATGGAGGTGTCAACGTTCACAGATTCTGAAAATGTAGATTCTAAGCTTTCCAAAACTGTATATGAAATCTGAAAATATTTGAAGGATTGGTGGTGAAAGTGAGGTCACCTGAAATCAAAAGAGAAAAACAGCCTCAACGTTTTCAGTTCAGGGGGGAACACGATGCTGCTTATTTGCATCGCCTTAGACAAACAAATATGTTTTCTGAGACGCTGAGTATCTATTATATGTTCTTATTTAATACTTATGGAAGAAATAAATATGACATTTGAAAATTGGTAATTCTCCTACCAAATGTTTTGCCATGGCTTGTCACATATATTTTCTACTTAATAAATTGGGCCTAATTGGAGATGGGGACAAGAACATAACTGCATATACAAGTTTAAGGAATTTCTCTAAAATGATATGTCTTGTTTTGCTTTTTAGCCATGGAGTCTCAAGTTTTTGATGAGGATGAGCAGGAATTGGACTCCGCTGATGAATCCATGTCCACAGACCTGGTCGTCTCCCCAGAAGACCCCTCCTACAAACCTTCAGGGCCCGCTGGCCGTCGCATCAGGCGCTTCAAACAGGAGTGGCTCAAAAAGTTCTGGTTCCTTCGCTATTCCCCAACACTCAACGAAATGTGGTGCCACGTCTGTCGCCAATATACGGTTCAATCCTCGCGCACTTCGGCTTTCATAATCGGCTCAAGGCAGTTCAAAATCCACACTATCAAACTCCACAGCCAGAGCAACTTGCATAAGAAATGCCTGCAGCTTTATAAACTGCGAATGCACCCAGAAAAGACGGAGGAAATGTGTCGGAACATGACGTTTTTGTTTAATTCCGCGTATCATTTAGCTATAGAAGGACGGCCGTATTCAGAACTGCGTCCATTGGCGGAGCTGCTGAAGAAATGCGAACTAAAACTTGTGGACCAGTACATGAACGAGGGCGATTGCCAAACTCTATTTCACCACATAGCAAGAGCGTTGAAAGAAGATTTAGCCGAAAAGATGCGACTGTCGCCATTTTTGAGCGTCATTATGGATTCACAAAACAACGATCTGTTTTCAGATACAGTAGCGGTGTACGTTCAGCTGTTGACCAACGAAGGTTCACCCAATACGGAACTTCTTTCACTAGAAAAATTGTCTTTTGCGAATGTCGAAGGCTATCTTCAGGCGTTAGAGAAAGCCTTTGGTGTAATCGGATTGCAATTTCAGGAGTTGTTAGTTGTCGGATTTGGCATAGACGGAGCGAACATCTCTGTAACGACAAGAGTGGATTTGTACATTGCTTTGCAGAAGATATTCCCGTCGATCTTGTGCCTTCCAATTATGATCAGTCGACCCCATGTTGACATTTTGGATGCGATTAGCGGCAAGGAGCTTTCCTGTTTGGAAGATTTGGAAAATAATCTCAAACAGTTGTTGAGTTTCTATCGATACTCTCCCCGACTTATGTCTGAGCTCAGAGCTGCAGCACCAACTTTTTCCGAAGAAACTGAATTCTTGGGCGATATTCGGGCAATTCGCTGGATTATCGCTGAACCAAATGTGCTTAACGCTCTGATAAAAGACTATTTTGAAGTTGTCACTCACCTGAAAGACATAAGCCTGCAGACTCACCGTGCTGACGCGTCTGCCATCGCTTTATCACTTGTCCAATTCCTCCAGGATTACCAATCTACCAAACTAATCTACTTTATGTTAGATATAAACGCTGTATTGTCGAGATTGGCCTTGACGTTTCAAGGCGAGCCCTTACTGGTTTCCATTGTGGAAATCAAAATTGAAGAAGCCATTCAAGAAATTGGCAAACTGGTTAATTCCCCAGGCAACTACCTCCAAGAGTTTGAAGACAACTTCCAGGAGAGTTTTCATGGCGTCGACTTGAAAAATTTGCTAGTTGCCGAATCCAAATTTCAATCAATTCGCGAGAAGATTTCCAACAAAAGTAAAGGGATCTTGAGTCATTTTCTAAAATCACAAAGTTGCTCATTTGCCAAAGCATGCAAGATTTTTGACTTGTCCACGTGGCCTGAAAATATGGAAGAACTGCCCTCTTTTGGTGAAGGGGAAATCCAGACAGTTCAAGAACATATAGAGACACTTCCTACAGTGAGACGGGAGCTAACAAATGCTAGGAACGATTTAGCAAGCGAATGGAAAGGACTGAAGTTTCAATTCAACTCTGGTGGTTTTAAAGACGTCATCGCTCACATTTGGACACACAAGCAGCGGTACCCAATTCTACACAGAGTCACGCAGTTCATAAAAGTGCTCCCGAGTTCAACAGTTTGCTGCGAAAAGGGACGCGTGGCTATGCTAAAGATTTGTAGGAACCATAGGACCAGGCTATCGCTGGAGCAAATGAACAACATGCTAACCCTTGCAGTGAATGGGCCACCGATGGCTAGCTTTGATGCTAAAAGAGCGCTTGACAGTTGGTTCGAGGAGAAATCGGGGCAGAGTGACGCGATTTCGACCGCCATGGTGGTGAAGATGATGAACGATAAACAACTTTGCAATGAAACAGAATTCTTCCCAGATATTTAAATGCAACATATCATACAAACCTGCCTTTTTTAAAGCTTTTTACCAAGTTACAACATTGTTCCCCCATTAATTGCTAATATCAAGAACTTCTGGCACAAACATGTAGCTTAGCCCCTTCTGTCTAAAAGCTCCTGTCTAAGTCCGGGGACAGTTTGATGTCATTGTACCACAGTGACATCACGCTCAGACTAGATTTTAGCCTTTTAAAACAAAAGTATTGGCCATAAAATCATTTTGGGGATAGCATTGTTTACTCTTCAGATATGATTTCACATTTAATACAAAAATGTAGGGAAATGGTTTGTGGAAAGCCAGATAGCTGTATAGAAAGTGTCCATGAGATCACGTTTTTCATGCGGGGTTAACAAATCACCAGAGGCATGATAACCCGGTTCATAGTCTCCAGGCAAGTTAGTGTGAAGTATTATTGATCTTGATTTTATTTTTTTCTTTATCTAAACAATTTTTTGTAAGTACCAAATTTAACTAAAATATTGTGTTTTTTTACCCAATGGCACCAGTATAAAATTTGTTTTTCTTATTCGCGAAAAGGACATTGATATGTTCATTTATTGTCTTGATTGTGCCATGATTTTAATTACCATTATCTTTGGCCATGAACAAATATGTTGCCTTTGCTGTTAAGTTGTTGTATCCAAAGTTCCATAAATGCATTAGAGCTGTGCGTCATTCTGCATGGAGCCTCAATAATAATAGTACATTTATTGCAGTGAAAAATTATTTAGCATTGCCTTTTACCTGCACATGGACGGAGATCTTAAACCCTGAATTAAAACAAAGGAATCTACAGAGATGGGCTTGTTGCTGCTTTGATAAGTTACAATCAATATTAAAACTTTATGATTTCTAAAGCATTCAAACTGACAAAATAAACCTGAATTTCACAACGTTGTGAAGTATTTTTCAAAAATGTAATTCAAATTTAAAATGCTGTATCTTGGTTGCTGCATGATTTTGGCTCTAGTCTCGGCTGGCAAACAGAATATAATGGCATCAATAAAACAATATTATTTATTGACACATTTATTGTACATGGCATGTTGGACATACTACATTTAGTCCCTAGTCATAAGCAGTATGAAAAACATTGGAAATTGGCTGAAAATACCGCCTTCCTAGGCCTTATTGGTCCTTAAGATTGATATTCTGTTGAGGTTAACCTTGAGGAGATGGTAGGAGACTGAAAGGAGCTCCTGGAGCCGAGGTCTTTGGATGATCTTTCCGTTGTCCCACAGTCGCATATCATTACCATAACACAATCATTCACCATGTTTTTAGTGGTAGGGGAAACCGGAGCACCTGGAGTTCTACATTCTTTATCAAGTCCAGAACGCGTCTTCTTTCTTCAGTTTGAAGCTTTAATGGTAAATTAAAATATTATTTAACAGAGCACTGGACCGTCTGCACAGTAAGACCACATTCTTGTTTTTGAATGTCACTCAAATTCGTTGTATAGTCCTTCTCTCTGAAGAGTCCTGCTGGTTTTCTCACAGCAGTGGAACAAAGAGAGACACAAAGGAAAAGGGACTATATATTTTACAGCAATTCCATTTGTGAACTATATTTTCTAAACAGTTTCCGAGGCGTACACACATCTTAAAAGTTTACATGAAAAAGATTTTTGTCCACAAATCCTTACAATTGAACTATATTTTACTGCAAACCTGGCTTTGAGAGAGTGGACTTGTACGAGTATCTGGGTAATAATCTGAACCACAAATTGGACACATAACGCGGACGCCCTCTTCAAGAACTCTACCTGCTAAGGAGGCTCTGGGCGTATGGAGTGCAGGGGCCACTCCTGAAGACCTTCCATGAATCTGTGATGACATCAGCTACCTTGCACGGTGTGGTCTGCTGGAGCAGCGAGAGAGGGACCTTGACAAGGTCATCAGGAATACCAGCTCATATTTTGCGATGCAACATAGACATTTTCCCCAATATGGGACGAATAAAGGTTCTCTTATCTTATTTAAAAACATGAGAATCTCCCATAGAGGTCATGCATGAGTCATGCCAGTCAGGCATGTCCAAACTAAGGCCTGTGGGCCAATTCTGTTTTGCACAAGTCATACACAAGGCAACTCAAAGTGCAGAACAAAACAAGACAGACAGGCACACAAGGCTTTGCAATCATAAACAATCACAGTACATTAAAAAGAGTATAGATAAAATCCCTCAGTTGTATGCTCAGCTAAACAGAACTGTTTTTAACCTGGATTTGAAACTGCCAGAGAAGCCTGTCTCACATTTTCAGGAAGACAGATGTTTATTTCTGACTCTGGGCACCAGCTGCCAGTCCCTGTGCTCCTCAGAGTTGGTTCATATAGGACTAACATATGGTACTTTGGTGCAAGGCCATGGAGAGACTTGCACACAAGCAGAGCGGCTTAAAGTCTATTCTCTGAGCCTTAAAAAGCCAGTGCAGAGACCTGAGGACTGGACTAATGTGATCGTACATCCTGGTTTTTGTCAGGTCTTGAGCTGCAGCTGTTTTATAGCCCGTTCGGAGAGACCTGTGAGCAGGCTATTACCCTAGTCCAACCCACTGGAGACAAATGCATGGATAAGAATCTCCAAGTCTGCTTTAGACACTACCTTTTTGATCATGTTTTTGGTGGTAAAGAGCTGCTGATGTGATGGATTTGATGTGGCTATCATAATGTAGGTCTGAGTCCAGTACAACCCCTGGATTTCTGACATTTCAAAGACAGAACAGTGAGTGAAGAGAGGACCTCTCTTGCTCAGTGAAACCGCTCTCATCCCAAAGCATCAAATAGTGACTCACAGGGCTTTTTCTTATACAAAAAATAACATTGCTGTCTGATTTGTGCATAAATGTTACTTTTAAAAGACTCAATAAAACAATGTCTAAATATTGAACTAAACAGTCAAACTGCTCTTGCTAAAAAACTGGTTCCAGGTCGACCCTGGTTACATGAATAATGTCGCCTGCTCGAAGTCTGCTCTATAGTGAGTGTTTATAAGATGATGTCTATGACATAGAGCTCCATGTTCATCTGTCCCTTAAAGACACAGAGAAAAGGCTGAGCTCAGGACACAGAGCATTTGTGGAGCGTGCAGCTGTGAGCAGAAGCGTGTCTCTGCCTGGTACCACTGACAACAGGCTTAAAATCAACACAAATGGGCTAAGTATTGAATGGGGGGGGGGAAAGGATTTATTCTGTTAAAACATTGATTCAAATAAATAGTAATGTAAAATGTTGTGAGCAAATCAGACCACAAGTTTCTGTCTTCATTCTGATAGAAAACATTGGTAAGAGGATGGTTCTCTCCTTTTCACTTCTCTGTCTGAAGAAGTTGATCTAAAATGTGACAGAGGCCAAAAATACATGTTTTTAGATTCAGAAATGTGTCACATGGATTTCATGACATTATGTAGTTAATTTAGTTGTTGTTAAAGAAACATTTGTTTAAAAAAACAACAACAACAAAACGATTGATAGCCTCTAACTTGGCACTGCTTAGCTTTTGAGATCTTAAATCTTGAATCTGTCATATTCTAATAAAGACTTATGCAATGTTGACTTACATTAACTTGAGCTTAAACAACTGGAGCTCCTGTCTCAATCCTGCATCAGTGAGTCTTAATATTCAAAGTTTATGGGCTCTGTCTGTATTAGTGTGATGTCACTGTGCCACTATGGCATCACACTAAGATCGGTTTTTCAAAACAAAAGTAAGGGGCTATAAATTAGGTGGCATTGAAAAGTTAAATGACATTCTTTACAATTGCATTGCTGTGTTTGACACAAGAAAGTTACAAATTTAAGGATAAAATAAAATAAAAAATATACTCCTCACACTGGTGGTAGAATAGGGAGTTACCAGTGGGGGCGGGTCCCGGCTCCAAAAGGTCCATGAGCATACGTGCACTGACATGCTAGCCGGTGGGGGTGTAACCAGAAAGAGAATTATCCAATGCTTTTGTATGGCGTCTTTCGTTCCTCTCAAAAACGGCATTACAGGATGGTCCAAAAGTTGGCTCTTGGCCCAATGCTACGTTCCAGATGCTGTCGATGCTGAGAGGGGGGAATTTTTTGGACCAGTTTCCCGCCTCCGCAGCCATTTTGAAAAAGCCCATAGAAGCCAAAAGAAATGGCACATTAGTTTCAACTGCGTTTGTTACTATTTACAGTCTTTGGGAGTTACAGGCAGAAAGCGTCTTTGACCCTCCATATATGTTACGCCATACATTTTAAAATTTCATCATATTGTAAAACATGAAAAGACAAAAAATAAACAGTCTCGCTATATTTTTCCAATAACGAATAATATTTCATAACATGTGCTCTTTAATGAAAAAAAAAAAAACATCGGCTTTTTGGACAAAATTGATAAAATAGCTGACCTGGACACTTAACACATATATATCACAATAACATATCAACATAGTGGTAGTAAACCCTAACCTTAAATATTGATTAATTAATTGCAGACGTCGATATAAAGCACATTTATCAAATAGGTAGGCTGCTTACAAGAAGAGTGGGACTACGAAACAAGAACGGGTTTTTCTGACCAACTCTTCTCTGTGATAATATTGTGACGTTGTTTGTAGATGTGTGTGAGTTTTCTGTTTCAAGAGACAAAAAACTGTGACTGATTTGCAATAAAAGACTTACTGCTTACGCAAGTCTTGGAGATGGCCCATGGCTCCATTCATTCAGGTCACATCGGGTCAAAAGAGAAAGGCTGGAAATCTTGGTTTGTTTAAGATGATAGAAACTTTAGTGTTATTGTAATATAGCAAAAATACAAGTAGTGAAGCATGGCAAAGCTTGTATTTGTATGTGTGCTATTAATATGCTCTAAAATAATGACATGTACAATGAAGTCAATGCAATAGTAATGTTCTAAAGCAACAAACAATCCTTGCAAGTGTTTATCAGTGTGTGGCGTCTGTGATTACACAAACAGACAGATGCCACATCCTCCCACTGACTGTGTTCTGGCCTTTAGAGAAATTACTCCATAAAAGAATGCAGGGTGTGCATTCTGGAACTGGCTGAAAGGAAATTTGGCTTTGAATAGAAGATGAAATATTGCATTAATATAGTGTATCTACAAAATTATATTAACATTTCCCCCTAACATTTCATCAAATATATTGCTTAGATCAGTGCTTCTCAATGGATTTTTGCCAGGCCCCCTGAGGAAGAAGAAAACATTTCTTTGTATGGTTATGGTGTGTGTGTGTGTGTGTGTGTGTGTGTGTGTGTGTGTGTGTGTGTGTGTGTGTGTGTGTGTGTGTGTCTGTGTGTGTGTGTGTGTGCGAGTGTGTGTGTCGATGTTGATGAGCAGATTTACTCCTGACATAGTAAGACCCCGGGGCAGCTGTGACGACACTAATAGTTTATCACCGTGTGTACAGTAGGCCTACACAAATACTGCAATGTTATGGTATTTTTTTTTTTGTCAAACCAAAAAATCAGAACACCCCTCTTACTTATACAACACAATACAAAGCACACATACACACACACACAGACACACACACACAAGCACGCACGGACACACACAATGCATATACAGTCACTCAGACAAGACACAGACCCAACATCTCTTTCCCGTCACTTGCTGTGCTGAGGGCATCACCTGCTATTCTCCACTTGAAAATGTTTTTAATTCAAGTTGTTCAAAGAGAACTGAGATACGCTTTGTTTTTAAAGTTTTCATATCAAAATGAACCACAAATACAAGAAACTAAACGAGACAGACAGTCCACCAAATCCTGATGACATTAAAAAGACATTAAAAAGTCAGTCTGAATGGGGCATACTTGATGTCATTAGGAAGTGTTTTTCATTTCCAAGGAGCGTATTAGAGAAAGCTGATTTTCATTTTACTTTCAAGATTATACAAGGGACGACAAGAGGGTTAGGGTTCTGGTGATATAACGGTTGTATAAAAAATGGCTCAGAGAATAGACTTTAAAGCAGCTCTGCTTGTGTACATGTCTCTCCAGGGCCTCGCATCAAAGTAAATCCGAGACATGTCAGTGGCTAATGGACTAAACATGGGGAGGCAGTGTTTATGATTTATTTCTGGAACAGTCTTCCTGATAATGTGGGACAGGCCACTGCTCTGACAATGTTCAAATCCAAGTTAAAAACAGTTTGTCTGTGCATACAAATGGAGGATTGTATCTTCATTCTTTTTAATGTACTGTGATTATCGTGATGAGTTGCCTTATGTATGAACTGTGCCCCACTAAACATCCGACGTCCACTCAACCTCCAGATCACGTCAATATCGCGTCGGTCGGTCGTGACCTTTTATTTACGTCCAAACGACGTCTGTGCAAGGTGCGCATCTGGACGTAAAACAATGACCTCCCATATACGTGGATATGACGTTCAATCCCGACCTCCCTTAGACGTCGAAAACAGGTCATCGGCCGTCCCAACGCAGTAAGTCTTGATCTAGCAATAGAATATATAGGCTGTGAAGCGATCCCAGTGTCCCTGACGGTAGTGTAGTGGTTAAGCAAATGTGTGCAGCCTTGGTTACGTGAGTTCGAGCCCCACGTGTGTGTACTATTATCTTTACATATTTGTTTTGATTTTTAACGAACAATTTTTTTCTGTTTGGTTAAAGACTAATAAACACTCAACATAGGATTACGTAGTGGCTAATAATAAAACTTGTGAATGTATGCATTTGTTGTGCTAACAATCTCAAGTTTGCAAATAAGGGGTGAGCACTTGATTTTATGCAAATGCATGGGTTCACAAGTTTTATTATTAGCCACTACATAATCTTATGTTGAGTGTTTATTCGTTTTTAACCAAACAGAAAAATTGTTCGCTAAAAAGTAAAAAGTAAGGGAGCGCAAGTGTCTGACCTGACGAAGAGACGCCGGATGGCTTGGTTGGCTGCAATAAGAAGAAAGGACCTTACTTTCGATCTCACCCCCAGTCGATGACAGTGTGTTCTCTGCATTTTCACTCGGGTACGTCCTAAAATGTCTTTATGTTGTTTTTTTAAAGTTAAGAAGTGTAGGTTACCTAGCTGTTAATGTTGCAAACACTGAAGTGCATCTTAAGTTAGCTGCCTAGCTAACTATCTAACAAACTGTTGCCTCTATGAAAATGCTTAATGGCCAACCATTAATGTTAACTAAGAATATTTAAGTTTCTGCTCATTATCCTACCTTGTTGGTGGAATATGTTTGTCTCTGTCTCTTATGTTCTCTAAACCAGTTGTGCCCAAACTTTTTTTTTGTCTTGTGTTGCCACTACCCCCTGAGCCCTTTTATGAAACCATGAATAGCGTTACCTTCTTGTTTAATATTTCTTTAGATTCCAGATTGTTTAATAATCTTATTAATCTGATGTAAGTAAACCATTATATGAGATTGCTAAAAATAGTTGAGATTCTGTTCATGACATTATGCTACCTTGTTGCCAGTTTAAAGCATTGACTACATAGATTATTCTGTTCTAGGTAAACCATCATATGAGATGTTGGAGAATCACCCTGACTGGACACCATCCTTGCGGTTAGGCCACAATAATGTTAAAGAAACAGATGGAGCGCGATATCAGCGGCAAGTAAAGCGCAGTACCCAGCATCTGGAGCAGTCATCACTCCCAGCCCAAGCCCAGCAGCCTCCATCGCCAGCCCAAGCCCAGCAGCCTCCATCGCCAGCCCAAGCCCAGCAGCCTCCATCGCCAGCCCAAGCCCAGCAGCCTCCATCACCAGCCCAAGCCCAGCAGCCTCCATCACCAGCCCAAGCCCAGCAGCCTCCATCGCCAGCCCAAGCCCAGCAGCCTCCATCGCCGGCCCAGCAGCTGCCTCAAGGAAGGATGAGGAAGCTCTCACCCTTCCAGCTTGTCCTATTGACTGTAATGCGCCTCAGATTAGACCTTCCATCTCAGAATTCACGTTGAGAGGGTGATTGGTGTTGTGCGCAACAAATTCAAATTCTTACATTCAACTGTACCTGTGCATATGCTTCTCAAATGTGAGGGTGAAAACCTAATGCCTTTAGATAAGATTGTCACTGTTTGCTGTGCCTTAACGAACATGTGCAAAAGTGTTGTTTGAGTGCCTTGTTCATAATTTATGAACCAACCAGAACCCCTCATGTCATCTGGATCCGAGTCCAGAGTCAGAACCAGACACGGAGAAGCTGCATTCAGCTTCTATGCTCCACATGTCTGGAACAAACTCCCAGAAAGCCTCAGATCAGCTGAAACACTCAGTTTGTTTACATCCAGGTTAAAGACCCACCTGTTCTCAGCTGCTTTTGAATATTTTTTATTCTAATGTACAAATCTGCACGGCTTCTTTTAATCTGGAATTACTTATCTGTTATCTTTTTCCTATGATTTTTTGTTTTTAAGTTAAAGTTTAAAATATGATATTGTTTTTCATATTTCAAACTATTTTTAACACATTAGAATTCTTAGGTTAGACTGTCCAACAAACTATGTGTTAAAAAAGGTTAAGATTCTTGAGTTTTAAAATAATAATTCAATTCTAAAATGTAAAGTTACTGTATATTTCACAATGGTTTATAAACTGCAAAAAGACAACAGTACTTAGTAAACTAAGTTTAAAAACAGGGAGATAAGCTTTAATATTTGGGACACTCCCATCATTTAGACACCTGTGATGTCATCAGTTGGAGTTGAGTTCAGGTGTGGGACCATGTGGGACCATAGGAGCACACAGATGTTACCTGCTGCAGAAAGAGAGTTTAATGTTCATGTATTGCTTTGTTTAATAAATGGATTTAATGTCTTCAATGTCAGAGACTTTCACTTCTTCTCACTGTGGCTGTTTAAATGAGCCACTACAGTTGTTATTTTTGTTATTGTTAGCTGCAAATATTAAATATCCATTCATCTGCTGGTAGCAAGCTAACTAGCGCTTGCAACTCTATTCAATTTCTTACTTTTTCTTATAAACATTAAAACCAGCCATATGATAATTAAAATACATTTACCTTTGCTAATGCAGTCAATTTTTTGTGAAATCCATAGAGTATAATTTCATGATTGTTGCAATAACTAATGTTCTGTGTGTATTCCTAATGTGTCATGTGTGTTTGAGTCTTACAGGTGTCAGACTGTGTTGAAGGTGTTCAAAGGTAAGAATCACACTCTCACACATTGATTGTTCTTCTGTATTATTATGTTGTTTTTAGAATAAACCATTATTTGGTGTATTCTCTTTGAAAACATCTATCTTTTTCTCAGATTGTTCAGCAACTCACTCAAGATGAGGGAAAAGAGCAACAAGGGGAAAATGCCCCCTCGGAAATGCAACATGTGTAGAGTAATACAGGGTAAGTAGCTTTCAGGGCTCATTTGTGTCCATGTGCAAAACAAATGCACATTTGCAATTGTTTTTTTACATGGAATTACTCCAATGACCAAAGCCTTATCCCAAGTTTCTCAGACGGAGTGTCTTCCAGTGTCTCGAGCGAGTGCAGTGCCAAGGTTTGTATCACATGGTGATGGATCGAGTGGTTTGAGGCATTAATAGAAAGTTATGTGTTGTTATATCACTTTGCCACATTATGTTGAAACTAAACATGTTCCACATTTTCAGGTGCTGTGCTTGGACCTTGTGATGAGAGACTGAAGACCAAGAGAGGACACATGCTGGAACATCAACATTCAATAAATGCATTCTTCTGCCTTTCAGATTGTGTTTTTACATCTGGGGAACCTAGAGTGTAGCTTGTGCCTGTTTTAATACTGATCCAAACATAGGCGATGCAATCATGTTTTTTACTTTGGCATGAACTGTTCAGTACAGTAGTGTTCATAACACTGTGCCCTGTGTGGATTAACTTGTACTTTGATGTAGAGAAACATGATTTTTAATGCAGCTCCATTTGCAATAATGGCTGATATCCTTCTACTACAGTTGTTCTAATGATTTTTGACTGCTGTGTTTATCGTTTATTGCCCAGAGTCAGAACTAAACATGATATAGCTGCATTTCAGATTCACAAGGCTAAAATCTGGAACGGTCTTCCTGGAAATGTGAGACAGGCTTCTTCTTTGACAATGTTAAAATCCAGGTTTAAAACACTTCTGTTTCTGCTTCAACTGAGAGATTTTTTGAGAGATTTTATTTGTATCTTTTTAATTTACTGTCAATATTTATAATTGTAATGCCTTGTTTGATTGTTTCTATCTTTTGTTCAGTGCTTTGAGTTTCCTTTTGTTTTGACTGTGCTATACAAATAAACTTGCCTTGCCTATTGCAAAAAGTATGTCTCGACCAGTGAGTGATTCTGCAGAGGTTAATAGGTCAATAGGACTGTAAATGGACGTCATATAAACGTCAATATTTTGGTCATATAAGACGTCGAGAGGACGTCGGACCCGACTGGTTCTGTACCACATTACAACCTTGAATGAACGTCCAGATGACGTTGGAATTACGTTGTTTTGACATCTGCTTGCTTAGTGGGAACGACTGAAAACGAACGTCATATAAACGTCAATATTTTGGTCACATGAGACGTTGATAGGACGTCAGACCCGACCGGTTCCGTACCACATTCAAACCTTGAATTGACGTGCCATCAACGTAACATTTGGAGGTTGAGGTGACGTCGGGAAACGACGTCGAGAAAACTTTCATTCTGCACCCACCAGTGACCTATATTCTACGTCGGACAACGACGTTCAAATTACGTTGATTCAACGTCGGCTTGCTTAGTGGGGCTCAACCAATAAACTTGCCTTGTCTGGTCTATGTAATCCTATTCTTTAAAGTGATTACAAAACTAATACATGGACACCCTTTTTGATAAACTTGTTGGATTTTATGACCATCACAATATTCATGTAATCACTAGCCTTTAAACATGGGAGGTGGAAGTGTCTGGGGAGAGAGAGGCCCGTCTTGGATTTGGACTTGTTTGGTTTCATCTGAGGTTGCGGCCCATGAGAGGAATGCGTGGGCAGAGGTCTTTCCGTTCCCACCTTTGATCCAACTCCTTTAAACTTCTTTCATTCAGACAACACTTTCAAAATCCCCCTTGAACTGAAAAAACCCAAAATTTTTGTCATAGTTTTGCCTACTTAGCGATATTGTTGTGTATTTTAGCCGGTTTCATTAAAGAGAATACCTAACTTTCAACCCCCGACAATAGTTCCTGGCTCTAAAACAGATTGCTTCCATTGCTAGTTTTCAAATTAATGTATTTTTGGCCTCTTTCACATCATGATATCATATTTTTAAGACATAAAAGTGAAAAACAGAAGGCTACCCTCTACTAAAGCAGGCATGTCCACTGACCCCTCTGTGTTATTATATGTGGCTACTAATACAAAGTCGCCATTGAGGCACTTTAACAGTGTCATCCAACCAACTTCAGCTCCACCATTACAGTCATGCTATACCTTGTTGTAAATCTCAGACCGTCTGGAATCCAGTTGTTGACTCTGTTGTTATATACTGACATTTGTTTCATGATTGTGACACAACATTCCACATAAAATGCAGTTGTGGTGTGAATCAATAAGGATGTATCAAAACCAGTTTTAAATTCCAGAATCCAGTCAATCCATCTCAAATCCAGGTTTTAGATCCAGGTTGTCTGCCCCTGGTCAAGTCTGATGATCAAAAGCACTAAAAAGTCAAAAAGGGACTTACAGGGCTCGTTCTTTCAAGTATACAAAAGGCAGCATAAGATTGAGACAGCTCGTGGTGATCTGACTTGTTAACAAAATGTGACTTTTATAAAACTCTTTCTGTTGGAGCAAACAACACGCACTTTATGAGGACAAAAATATGTCTTTATTTTTACAGCAAAAACTGAACACACAAGATGGCAAAAATAGAAATAAATCCTAAATGTAACTGGAGTTGAATCAGCTTTTTGCTCACAGATTTAGAAAATGTTTTGATATGCAGATGAGCAGGCCATAGAGTCATCTGTATGAAAACAGCGTAATTCATGGAGAGTTGGAGACTCTTGTCCAAGTGGAAGAGGAGGGGAGGTTCTGGACAGTGGGTCTTTGTGGTTCCAGGACAAAGACCAGCTCTGAGGGTCCGGACCAGATTCAGACCAGGGTCAGACGTCTGAAAGACCAACATGAGCCAGAGGAGTGGACTACAGCTGTTACTACTGCTGCTACTGGGCACCATCCAAACCGGTGAGTAACAGGACTGAACCAGGACTGAACTGGGACTGAACCGGGACTGAACCGGGATTGAACCGGGACTGAAACAGGACTGAACCGGGACTGAACCAGAAATGAACTGGGACTGAATCAAGTCTGAACCAGACTGGACTGGGACTGAACCATTACAGAACCAGGACTAAAGCTGAACAGAACCAGGTCTGAACCAGTTACATATTCTGTTACATGGTCCAGACAGGGTACCGTATTATTCTTGGGAATGCTTTAATCTGGATTTAATCTTGATTTTTGTGTAGCAATATGCTGTTTTTTTTCACAATTTGCTAAAGTATTGTCTGTAAAAGGTTGAAAAATACTGGATTTACTGTGATATAGTTTTTGAGCAAGAATAGTTTTGAAATGATAATAATTTGAAATACATACATTTAACAAGCTAACTACCACAATATTATGTATAATCCTGTAGAATATATTCATTCATATTTATTCTGTAGAATAAATTCAACTTTTGGAAAGAGTATCAAAATTGGGTGCTCTCTGTCTAATTATTAGAAGAACTAGTTTAACAAAGTAAATATAACTAAAATAAAGGTTTTGATTGTTCAATAACTATTCTTTGTTAAGGAACTGTACATTGTTAAAGCTGGGACACCTTACTTTCAAATCACAAAATTATATTAAAATAATGAAATCCATCTGACCACGCTTACAAAACTTGTTTCTATGCCAAATAAAACACATGTGTTTTTTGGCCACTGTCACATCTTAAGATACGCTTTTCAGATTTTGTTGTGGTCTGATTTGTTCAGAAAATGATTCTAGAATAAGTCATTTTCTGTTGGAACAGTTGTATTGTGAATCAAGAGGTTAGGTACCCCAACAACAGTTACAACAAATGACAGGGCAGCGGAGTGACGCAAAAGTGGTGGTTACATTCTAAAATAATGAATGAAACAAACTCCTGTTTTTTAAAATGAGAAACCCAGATGTTGTATTTTACATAATAACTTACCAGCTCCAAAGACAACGTCAGTGTTTCCATGAGGCTCATGGATCAGGAGATTCATGAGTTTTCCTGTTGTTTAATTTGATTTTTCTGTGTGTACATATGTATTTTTTCAGGTCTAGGGCTGCGCTGTTACAAATGCTCCGACTACACCGGGCGCTGTCAGAACGTCCAGGAGTGCACCTACGAGGACTCCTGCATCTCCATCAGCGAAAGAGGTTATAAACAAGACTGGGTTAAAGCCAGATAACTCATTGGGATACTTTCATGTGTAGAGGAGATAGATAAACTACGTTGGATGAAAATAGTGTAAGAACTTTACAGTTCTCCACATTATATTACAGGAAATATGTAGATCTTTACATTTGTTTGGAGTAAAAAAAATCTTTAGCTCTGTTTCAGTTGCCCTGTTTTTATGTTGAAATGCACGAGAAAACGTGGGAAACGTTGACGTATTGTTTGGACCTGCGTCGGCTACTCACCCAATAGGAACGTGTCAAATAAAAGAGTAAAAACAAACTCTAGATTTTTAGTTTAGTTTTCTAAAGTTGTAGTGCAGTGCTCCTGCAGGAGGGAATTCCACTATAGCAAGTTTATTATTATCCTTGTGGAGCTATATATTTTGAAACATGTTTTTTTAATCTTCTTTATATATATATATTTTTTAAACAGCGCGTGCAACTATGTAAAATATTGTCCCTCAAGGAACAGACACTTTTAAGCAATGAGTTTGGATTTATTATCGCTATGTGTAGTGTGCTGGCTGCTGGTAGCTACTTCTGCATTATAAAAATAAAATGCAAAATAAAATGAATGCGTACAAACAATAAAAGATATATATTATATATTTTAAGTTATTATAAATGGTCTCCAACAGTCTTGAAGGTGTTCCCAGAGATGCTTGGCACTTGTTTGCCCCTTCATTCTGTAGTCCAGCCCCAAAACCATCTGGACTGGGTTCACGTCTGGTGACTGTGGAGGCCAGATCATCTGGTCTAGCACCATCACTCTCCTTATTGGTCAAATAGCCCTTACACAGCCTGGTGTGGATCTACAGTCAATAGTCATGAAAAGAAAGGGAACTCATTGAATGAGAAAGTGTGTCCAAACTTTTGGTCGGTACTGTATATGTATGTGTGTGTGTGTATATATATATATATATATATATATATATGTATATATATGTATATATATATATATGTATATATATATATATATATATACATATATATATATGTATATATATATACATATATATATATGTATATATATGTATATATATATATATATGTATATATATATATATATGTATATATATGTATATATATATATATATATATATATATATATATATATATATATATATATATATACATTATATATAATATACGACAACAAAAATACATACAATAAAACAAAAATGAATACAATTACCTAAAAATAAAATTAATTAAATCAAATAGATAGAGATAAATATGATAGAAATACATTTTTTTTAAAAATCAATAAAAATTAGATGAAGTAATAAATAAAAAAAATCAAATCCATACAAAAACAACAGCCCCCAGTCTTTGTCTTTGTGCAGGTGGAAAAACCATCCGCCAGTGCTTGCGTTACACTGACTGCGATAACTCCCGGCTGCAGCAGATGTTTCCATCCATCAGCGGCTTCACGTATCGCTGCTGCAGCTCCAACCTCTGCAACTCTGTGTCCGGCGCCACCACCGCCGCCCCACTGTCTGTGCTCGCCACCAGCCTCGTCGCCTTCACCTGGACCTGGCTCTAAACCCAGACCTGGACCATCATGGCATGTGCAGGGATAGGATTCACCATGGGGTTCATCATCAAGGCTAAGAAAAACATCAACGGTTCATCACGGCGTTGCTACATTTATCATGCTTTGAAAAAATAAATGCGTCCTGATTATGAAAGATAGCTTTGCTTCTTTGTTATGTTCTCTAGAAATGTGTAGATAGAGACCATTACAGAGCTAAAAACTCACCAACAAAAAAAGCCCTATGGAGGCTTCATTGGATCAATTCTGTTTCACTTGGGACAAAAAGATGTATTTGTGTCTATAAACCCACCAAACAAGTGAAGAAGTGTCAATTAGTCACTTACAAAGTCAGCTTTGAAACAGCCCAGTGAAGCATTTTCTCAGACTTGGTCCAGTTGAAGTGAACTGGATTTGTGACCAACAAGTTTTACACCTTTCATCCCGCAAAAATCAAAGTCGTTTTTGTTTCCAAGTCTCCAGCAAAGACATGTTTCAGGGTTGTCCCAGGTGATTGGAGATGGGTCCCAGGGCACTGCACTACCATGACCACTATACTCTTCAAAAGTTGTTTCTTAGAAGTTTGACTAGCTGTGGATGTTGTAAATGTGGTACACAAATAAAACTGATTTAACTCGACTGGCTTCACTATTAGCATTGGGAGGATGGGTCAAATGCAGTGGACACGTTTCCAAACTTTAAAACTTAAAAGGGCATTATGCAACTATCAAAAATACGGGGAATGAGGCGCAATCAGACAGTGTGCATTACAACAAAGACGTCGACCCACAGATATTAGTCCAAGCGAAAAACACAAGGGGATCATCAGAGCAATGAATCTCTCAAATACAAGAGAATATAAATTAACAAAAAATTTTTATCAAACTTTTATCACGAAAGCAAAAAAACCAGGCCTCATTCATAATTTGTCTATTTGGAAATCTCAGGTTAAGTTGAAATCATTTGGAAATATGCTGTTTGATTATTACTGAAGACATGACCACTATACCACTGTGCACATGTTTCAACACTAGTGCAGCGATACACATTAAAAGACCAGACCGTCGAGAAGATTTTTGTACAAAATATTTAATATAGTTGATACAGATGCATCTTTCTATAGAGACATTCATAAATAATTAAATAAATAAATCATGGGAAAATGGCAGCAGAGATAACTGGTTATTGGTTCAAAAGTCACTGTGCAGTTGTGCTTTTACCATTTAGACGTTCAAATACACACACGAGACGAGACACAAAAAGGCAGTAAATGTGCATTGAAACTTAGGAAAGGAGGGCTCATAGAAACAACGACACAGGACTGGACATTTTAAGGGATAAGAAGATAATAATATTTAATACGTTCATTTATACATAGGAGGTATTTGGCTATAAAAAGTATTATCTTGTTTAAGTCCTTGGTTGGAATGGTAGTTAAAGTAAAAACTGCTATAATGATTTTTAATCTACAACACTCATGGCTCCGTGTTATTCCGTAGGTTTAATACATTTGAAATCTAAAATGATGTCATGCAGCAGATGCTACGAATCTTTTTAAAGCTGAAGGCTCCTGAAGCTTATTAACCCTTAAATGGGCAAGCACATATAAAAACTTTGGAAAAATAATTAATTGCTATTTTCTAATGTTTCTAGGCTAAAATAACACAATTTCATGATTTTTTTCAGAATATGACCTTTATTTTTCATTTTAAAGTTTGTATCTCCCAGGATACATTGCCCGTTTAGGGTAAAAATTTAACATTTTCAAATATTTCATTTGTAAACTTTTAAAACATATTATAAGCAATTAATTAGTTACTTTTTTCATGTCTTGTAAACAAAGTTTAAAAAAGTGGGGGAAAAACTGAACACAAGTCATTGGAAACAAATCTAACTTTGAATAAACAACGAGCTACTAACATTATTACTGTTCTTATGCAAACATCTCTCCTGTGGAGCTCCTACACTAGAAATAGCTTACTGGCAGTGGAAGCTGTGGAAACAGTTGCGAGGGTTTTGGCCTGTGACAATGCAAAGCCTCACTTTGCACTTCTGACACACAATGGAGGTCTGTCCATCCTGGCACATCCTGTATCTGCCTTTCACTGACACGATAGGGAAGTGGTCAATCCTGTCATATATCATATCATCCACAGGCCTGGGGACTTTTGGCTGTTTGATTACTCTTGGTGGTGTGTTGTCTTCGTTTCCTTTGGGGCGACCCCTTTTTTGCTTTTCAGGGTAGATGAGTCCTTTGGCAACATCCAACCTAAAGACCTTCAGGCAATGATGTTTCTGACCCAGTTGGGCTGCATCACGACGATGGAGAAGCCAGGCATTATTGACAGCAATGTCAACCATCTGCCAAAATATGGCCAGGTACCATCGATGTGACTTGGCTGGAGTGCGATAGAGGGCAATCATCATATCAGCCAAATCTACTCCTCCCATGTGAGTGTTGTACTCAGATACAATCTTCGGGCATGGCACGCTTATCTTCTTCTTTTCCTCTTTGGAGTAGCGTCTCACTTGGCCAACTGGTCTGACAGAAGCACAGGAGCTCACCAAGGTGACAGTTTTGTTGTCTGCCCATTTGACCACAGCAAGCTTTGCATCGTTGTCTACACGAAAGTCAAAGCTGCCTCTTCCTCTTCGTAGGAGGTCTCGATCTTCTTCCAATGTGCAACCCATCAAGCGGTTCTTTCGAATGGTACCCAAACTTCTGAGGCCCATAGACTCCTTTAGATGAGTTATCAATCTCAGGGATGTGAAAAAGTTGTCAAAGTAGACAACGCAGTTGGAGGGATTTCTGATGGTTCTGCGCAGCTGCAGAACCACATTTCCACATAACCCAAACTCTTTGTCTAGAGAAGCACCATCAAATGTAGACTTCCCTGTGTAAACCATGAAGTCATACACAAAGCCAGGCACACCAGCTCGCACAAAGATCTTGAAACCCCATTTCTTGGGTTTGCTGGGTAGATACTGCCGCAGACTTCCAGCTTTTTTGCCTTTGTATGGTACCATCATTTCATCAATTGAGAATTGGTTTTCACTCTCAATTTCCATACACTGCCCCCTCATGTGGTCAAGTACAGGCCTTATTTTCGCCAGGCGATCTTCACTGGAATCAGAGCTCATGTTATCTTGAAAGTGGAGCATCCTGGACAAACATTTATACCTCTTGAGTGGCATGACATCTGCTACTTTGTCATATCTAGTATCTGTTGCCCAGTAGTTTTCCACTGCAGGCATTTTCACTACACCCATCATCAACTTCATTCCAATGAATGCTTTGATTTCAGAAGCATCAGTGTTGATGCTACTTCCAATGAGCTGACATGAATACAAGTTCGTCTGGTGAGCAATGGTCCCAAAGATGTCCTCATCAAAGAATTTGGAGAAGTATGTTAATGGCGTGGATAGCTCATCTGGTGTAGTGAAGCAACTTGGTGTAGCAGTAGACTGGTGCTCAAATTTAGTTTTTCTCCACCTATTGAAAAGGAAAAAAATATCTGTGAAAAAACAGGCACCCCCTTCCCCCAATCGCCAATACAAACCACCAAAATCTTTATATTTTTAAACTCCTGTGTGTGTGTGTGTGTGTGCGCGTATGTTAGTGTGTGTGCGCACCTGCGTGTCCTGCGTGTGCGAGTGAGAGAGACTAACACACATGACCATACAACACATCATGTTTTGCTGCAGACAGATGCTGTACGTACAATATCTACACCAAAATAGTTGGATCTTTTACATAACAATTCACTATACTACTCTAATCATTACCTGAACATCCTCCCTCTTTTACTGTGGTTTGCTCCCTCTTCTGCCTCATCATCACTTGAGCTATCACTGAACTGGTCACTGCTGCTGCTGCTGCTGTCCTGACACTGGCCCTCTGTATACAATTCATCTTCCTCATCTTCACTGGTTCCCTCATCTTCATCTGAATCAGATGAACCATCAGGTGGCAACACAACAGATGCCACCTCTCTCTTTCTTGTACCATAGAAAGTACTGGTAGAAATTCCCTGAAAACATATGTACGCAGGTAAATTAATCCGTAATACACATTTAAGAGTAAAGTGTAGTGTAATCAACATTTAACACCTTTAAATTATTGATTATCTGTAGAGTATAGGCTTCAAAACATAAGTATATCTGAGAGTGATTATGCCTGTTTATATACCCCTATCTGGGCAACGTATCCCCCAGGATACAGACATTCAATGCCTGTTTATCAAAGTTGTGTAAATGTAATTCATTATTTTTCAACAAGAATACATAAAATTATCCTTAAAGAACAATATTTTCAAAAACAAATCCCCCCAAAACATAATTAACATGAAAAATAACAACACTTACCTCATGCCCCGTGTCTCTGTCCATGTAGGCAGCCATTTTAGAGTGTGACATAAATGTATCAATTTAGTTTTGAATGCTGCAATAAAGTCACATGACCTGGGTACTTGACCCATCCCCCCTTAAGACTTTCTCATGATATTTAGTGCAGATACTTAATGCCCCTCCCCCCTACAGCCTGCCAAATGTCTGTATCTCCCAGGACACAGAAACCATTTAAGGGTTAAAGGGCTCGAGCGCAATATGGTGGAATTGCAAAACATAAGGAATTAAAACTAGCCCCTAAATTGTTTTATTTTTTATCATGGCTTAGGATTTTCCATAATTGAAATTCAATCAACTCACGATACTAAAAATAATTTCTCTCTTATTGGCTGAATCTATTTTGTGTTCACTATTGCTGCTTCCTGGTTCAGTCTTGGTTCAGTTCTGGTTCAGTCCAGGTCCAATCCTAGTCCAGTCCAGGTCCAGTCCTGGCTCAAAGCAGCTCACATCTTTAATAAACATATTTGGAGCACATGTTTTCAAAGATAAACTAAAACGTGAACTACAAGTTAGATATTTTTTCCTTCAAAGATTAAAGAAAATAGGACTGTACTTTTTTGGGATAATGGTTGTAATATTTCAAAAGTTAATGTAGTTGATGTTGCTCTGTCGGATCATTTCTGTGTATTTTTTAACATGTGTTTTGCTACCAGACCACCCGCTAAATATGAAATTGTTAGAAGTAGACACTTAAATGAAAACACGGGTGAACTATTTATGGGAATGATCCATTTTGAGAACACATCATGTTCTACTGTAGATGAACTGTTTAACTCTGTCACCTCTAGTGTGTTGAATGTTCTGGACGCCATTGCCCCTGTGAAGGTAAAAATGGTCACAAATAAGCAAAAAGCCCCATGGATAAAAGCAGGCCCGGTCAGGGCACAGAAGCAAGAGTGCCGGAGAGCAGAGAGAAAGTGGAGAAAGTCCAACCTCCAGGGTGATTATAGACTCTTAAAAGAGAAGTTGTGTGAGTTTAACAGAGTACTACGTAGAACAAGAGAATTATACTTTTCTGAAACTATTGAAGGCTGCAGCAACAATCTGCGTGTTCTATTTTCAACAATCAATAGATTAACGAACCCCCCTGTTGAGTTGCCATTAGAACACTACTCCAAATCCAGGTGTAATGAGTTTGCACAGTTCTTCAGAGACAAGGTTCAGGGTATCAGAAATGCCATCACCTCTACAACACAAGTAACAATGCAACATCCAGTGAGGCTTTGTGAGCTAGCTCAATTTGCACCTGTCAATGATGAAACTGTTAAAAAGATAATCACAGGTCTTAGTTCCTCTACCTGCAGTCTGGATGTACTACCTCCTAGATTTCTGAAGTCTGTTATGTGTAGTCTATTACCCTCATTGACACAAATAGTAAACATGTCTTTTTTATCTGGAACATTTCCAATGGCCCTGAAAAAGGCAGTCATTAGGCCCCTCCTAAAAAAGAGCAGTTTGGATGCTGCGGTACTTGAAAATTACCGTCCCATCTCAAATCTGCCTTTCATGGGAAAAATTCTTGAAAAAGTTGCCTACCAACAACTTACTGAATTTTTAATATCTAATGACTCATTTGACATGTTTCAGTCTGGCTTTAGACCACACCACAGTACTGAGACCGCTCTAGTCAAGGTAACAAATGATATTCGGCTTAACACTGATGCAGGAAAAGTCTCTGTTTTAGTCATGTTAGATCTGAGTGCCGCTTTCGACACCGTTGACCATGAGATTCTCATGCAGAGACTGGAGGACTGGGTTGGTGTTGCTGGTACCGCCCTAAGCTGGTTTAGGTCCTATCTAGAAGAAAGGAAGTATTGTGTGGAGATTGGAAACTATGTCTCAGATAATATGGCCCTGACCTGCGGAGTGCCACAGGGGTCGATTCTGGGACCTCTCCTGTTCAATATTTACATGCTGCCATTAGGTCAGTTAATTCAAAGTATGAAAGTGTCCTACCACAATTACGCTGATGACACTCAGATCTATGTCTCACTGACTGCAGGAGAGCATGGGCCGGTGGACTCACTCCTTCGCTGTATCCAGCGGATCAGTGAGTGGATGCAATGCAATTTTCTCCAGCTAAATGCGGACAAAACCGAAATGATTGTCTTTGGTCCCGAGAAACAAAGAGAGACCGTCATTTGTCACCTTCAGTCTCTCTCCCTAAGGCCCTTAAATAAGGTCAGAAATCTGGGAGTAATAATGGACTCTGACTTAAACTTCAATAGCCACATTGGATCGGTAACATCAGCAGCTTTTTATCATCTGAAAAATATTGCCAAAATTAAAAATATTGTGTCCAGGGCAGACTTGGAGATTCTTATCCATTCTTTTGTTTCCAGTAGGCTGGATTACTGCAATGGCCTGCTCACAGGTATCTCCAAACATGCAGTAAGACAGTTGCAGTATATTCAAAATGCTGCAGCCCGAGTCCTGACTAGAACCAGGAAGTACGACCACATTAGTCCGGTCCTCAGGTCTCTGCACTGGCTTCCCGTGGCCCAGAGGATAGACTTTAAAGCAGCTCTCCTGGTGTACAAGTCTCTCCATGGCCTTGCACCAAAGTACATCCATGATATGCTAGTCCCATATGAACCAGCCCGGACTCTGAGGAGCGCAGGGACGGGACTCCTGTTAGTGCCCAGAGTCAGGACTAGACAGGGGGAGGCTGCTTTTCAGATTTATGCAGCTGGAGTCTGGAACGGTCTTCCTGAGGATGTGAGACTGGCTGCCTCTCTGTCAATGTTCAAATCCATGTTAAAGACTTTTCTTTTTTCCCGTGCATACAACTAGAGAATTTTATCTTTTTAACACACCTTGTTATTTATTGTTGTAACTTTTTGTGTTTTTAACTATTTTATTGTTTTTAATTACTTGTGTGATTTTTATGTTTTTAAATTACTTATGTGATTTTAATGCTTTTTAATTACATATGTGTTTTTAATTGTATTTTAATGGTGATGATTTGTGCATTGTGTGGTGTGGACTGTGAGGCGCTTTGTGTTGCCCTGTGCAGGAAAAGCGCCCTATAAATAAAGATTGATTGATTGATTGATTGATACCATTTTCATAGTTTGGCTGGGGTCTTGTTTGGTTTTGTATCATCAATACAAAAATACCATTTGATAATCCTCACAGAAAGAGCCTTGCAGCAGTTTATGACAGATGAGATGCAAACTTTAAGAAAGCTATAGGAGTCAATATATTGGGCTGAGAGCTGATTGGCTGTGCGAGAGTGGTTATTTCTGCTTGGCTTTTGCTTCTGAAAAAAATGATCTAAAGCTGTGACAGTGTCCAAAGGTCAGTCCCTGGTTCAGTCCCTGATTCGGTCCCAGTCCCTGGGTCGGTCCCTGGTTCAGTCCCTGGGTCAGTTCCTGGGTCAGTCGCTGATTTCCCCGAGTGAGTCTTCTTCCATCTGGCGTCCAATCACCTCCAGCATCACGGTCTTCTTCTGGCCTCTGCGCTCCCCTGGACCCCCATCGCTCACGGCCGATGGCTCCTCCTGGTGGTGGTCCTTCAGAATGCCATGTGTCTGTGGTGCTGGAGGGTACACTGAAGCATACCACGGCTGCGCGCTCTCTCCTCCCCCTCTGCCTCGTCTGAAGCCTCCACGACCAGCCCGTACCAGACCCCAGCCCTGAGAGAAGGTGTGAGGTTATAGAGAGAATATATAGCAACAATCTAAAACAAATCATACGGGAGGAGAAGAGGAAAGTGGAAAGACTATGAGTTTGACACTTAAACTCATAGTCCAATATTCAGACCACAACATGCTGTTTTATCACAAACATTTGATATTATATATTATAATGACATTTTGGGCTGAGAACTGCTTTCCTGAGGGAGGGTAGTCCACTCTTTATCACTTTTCAGAAAAACCTGATCTGGCAGAGACGGACATTTTTGTTTCACTGGATTTGTGATGTAAGTTTTGAAATAAAATGTTTTGATTTGATTTTAATTTGAAGTGGGAAATTAAATTAGACTTTTAAGATTTTAAGATTGAACATGGTGTGAATTGAACCCATATAGTCGACATAATTTGACTGGAGAATTTCTACAAACCAATTTGAAGGCAGAAAATGGCTGTCGATGATGCCATAGTCTGAGGATGTCAGTATCACATTTGAAAACAGAACATTTTGGCAATTGGAGAAGAGGGCCATGGATTAAAATAAAAATATGCATATTTTGAATGAGAAATAATGTGGCTAAAAAACTCAAAAAGATCCTTTAGAATAATATGGGTCAATTAGGAGTGTACTAACCTGTAGATGAGACTCGTTTCCGCAGTCCTGCACTCCTCTGGTCTGGTCCAGGTCTTTGGAGCTCAGCGAAGGCATTCTTATGGGCACCGTATTCCCAAATTTAGAGTAATCCACGCAGTAACGACCGTCTTCTTCTGTGATGATGGAGACGAAACGGCGCCCCCACAGGATTTCTTCGGGAGTGTAGGAGGTGCGCGCCTGCATGGTGATCCCAGTTGTCTCCACCACTCCTACGAATGGATACGAGAAACAACTCAATGATCATAATTGTAGAGGCCTGTTTTTGTTCCTCCAGTTGTGAGTCCAAGGGTTTTGCAAAGGAGACATCATAGACCCATAAATCCAGTGACCAAATGTTCCTTTTCCAAAACATTTAAAGAGTCTGAGGTATTTCAGCATCATTGAAATACAGAACTCTGGGTTTTAGGTTAAAAAAAAAAGTAGTCTCAGTGGTGGAGGTGTTGGAGAGTGCTGGACCAAGAAGAGCCGACAGAGCATTTGGCTGTTGAGAGTCTGGTGTTGGCTTATCTAGGCCTTTACTCAGAGTCGGGCACTTCAGTCAAACCATCTTACAGTTTGATACAGGTTGGAGTTTGAAAATGTGAACAAAAATAAACAATATGGTCAGAAAATAACGTCAGAATTAGTGTGTACAGTGTACCTTCCAGGATGACGATGATCTCCAGGTCCTCAGCGGCCAGACTGTGAGCGGACATCTCATAGAGGGGACTGCCACGGTCGATGGTGTGACTGATGATCAGAGGAGAAACCAGGAAGATTCCATTGGACCTTAGAGGATTCTCCACCTGGATGTCCAGCTGACACACGGGAATTACCTCGCCCTCCGTTGTCACTGTCCGACGAATCACCTGCAAGAAACCAAGACAAAGGCCATATTTCAGAGAGAACGCAAACCCTTTTTTTTTGCTTTTTGTCCCTGGCTTGGTGAAAGTCAAGCATAAAGCGGTGACAAACAATGTGCTCAGTCTCAGCTTCTGTGGGCTGGTGCCTAGTAGGCTCTAAGCATTCTCCCTTGTTTTTAGCAGTTTTAGTTTCATGTTATATAGTCTTGATGTAGCTTTAAATAGTTTTTGTTCTGTGTTGAGGATTTTAAGGTAGGGGCAGGTTTTATACTATACTATACTATACTGGGATTTCAACCCGTCTTTCCTTTTACATTTTATTGAGTTGTCCTGCTACTGTTTTGAGTCTTTTATGTGTGTGCAGTTTGGTAAGGTTTGGTTAGTTTGAATATATTCTTATTTATCTTAACGCTGCAACTTAAAAAAAAAAAATATCTGTTTTTAACTGATGCAGTCCGTGGGCTTTTAGATATTAGGTTGTTTATTTGATATAGTTATATTTGATGTTATGGGGCGTGCTTGAGAGGGGACTATCCCCTTATTTTTCAGTTTTTTGCACATTAATCTGGTTTTCCCCCGTTTATACAATTTTTTTAATCCAAATGTCTTTGTTTTTTTTCTGAGTGGAGTTTACATGTTCTCCCTGTGTCTGCATAGGCTTCCTCCGGGTACTCCGGTTTCCCTTACCTCTAAAAACATGTACAATAGTTCAGGCTGAATTAGTGTGTGGTTGTCAGTGCGATGTGCAATGTGTTCATTAACGTGCACTGTCCCAGACTCGTTACCTGCAGCTGGATGGTGGCTGAGATGATCATGCTCTTGCGCAGGTCTCCCACTCTGAACATAAAGGCTGGCCGTCCGTTCCGGGGCGCGATCACAGCGTTCCTGGAGAAGATCAGCGTCTCGGCTCGACGGTTGGCCTGAGCCGTCTTCATGAACACACAGCCAAGCATCACGGCGTTTATGATCAGGCCCAAGATGTTCTGGATGATGAGCACCGTGATGGCCATCGGACACTCCTCTGTCACCATGCGCCCTCCGAACCCGATCGTGACCTATAGGGGGATAATAGAAAACAATATCAGATTCAGATTTATTTTATTTGTCAATGAAATACATTTCAATCAATCAATCAAAGTTTATTTGTAGAGCGTCTTTCATACACAGGGCAACACAAAGCGCTTCACAGTCCACATCACAAATCATCACATAAAACAAACACCAGAATCACAATTAAAACATTAAAATCACACAAAAGATTAAAACACAATAAAAACAATAAAATCACACAAAAGAATAAAACCATTAACACTTTCAAAGTTACACAAGAAATTTAAATAAATAAATAAATAAATGACAACAGTGCATTAGAAATGCAGATAAAATCCTTCAGTTGTATGCACAGGCAAACAGAACAGTCTTTAACCTGGATTTGAACATTGACAGAGTAGACGCCTCCCTCACATTTTCAGGGAGATTGTTCCAGATCTTAGCTGCATGGATCTGAAACGCAGCCTCCCCATGTTTGGTTCTCACTCTGGGCACCAGCAGGAGGCCAGTCCCTGTGCTCCTCAGAGTCCGAGCCGGTTCATATGACACCAACATGTCACTAATGTATTTTGGTGCGAGGCCATGGAGAGACTTGTACACAAGCAGAGCTGTTTTAAAATCTATTCTCTGAGCCACAAGACATTTGCCAAAGTCCCCAGTGTGCACCAGACAAATACATAAACAAAACAAGGTAAAAAGAACAGGAATATAACAAAAAATACAGGAAACAATTGACACTGTGAAATCGATCAGCAAAAACAGTTTCAATACAAGTACAGGATTATTAGTAGTGAGTAAGTCATCTATGTGCCTACATTTAGAACTACTTTTAAATCAGAGTGTATCTCATAGTGAGGAGTCCCTCCTTGGAACAATTTACCAGGTGATTTTAAACCATGTTAAAAAAAATCAGGAAAAAAAAGGACTGAAGTACATGGAGGAAACATCAAAGAGTGGACTGACCGAGTGCTGGCTATCTGACTGACTGGAACAGGCTGTTTGAGCAGGAATGGGGAGCCAAACGTGTGCACATTTTGTTTGAGATAAAATAAGATATCCCACAGTGGGGAAATTTTGATGTTGCATACATATGTCTTCATTATGAATACAATACAATACAATTACAATATAATACAATTTATTCTTGTATAGCCCTAAGTCACAACAGAAGTCATCTCAGAGGACTTAACAAAACCATTGAAATCACCAACACAGATCAGAGAATCAAGAGTTAAAACACATGAAAAATATAAAGCACACACAGAATAAAATGTCCATACATGTTGTAGAATGCTAAAGTGTCCTGATCATCACCAATCCTTTCTGTTGGACACTAACTTAAAATCTTAACTAACTAATCTTAAAAAACCCAGGGGGAAAAAGTGAGAAACCTTGGGGAGAACTAGGGAAACCCACAGGGAGGGAAACCCATTTGAGAAAGGAATAAACAGCTAAAGCTGACAGTTGGCATAGTAGGCTCCTGATTGTCAGTTGTTTGGACTCATATTTGGATTTACAAAGACAATATCCCAATATAAAGGCCAGCATTACAGAGATCAGGATCACTTTTAAATCCCAATACGATGAGTGTGACACAAACTGTTACTGAGCAAGAGAGGTTTACTTTTCAATTTAAGTCAATAGGAGCCAGAGTGAGTTGATCCAAAACTTCATCCATGAGCACCTCCATTCATGGTGCTAGCGGTTCATAATGTCTATGGGAGGAAAGAGAGTGATGTCCTAATGCACAGAGCAAGTGTTGGGGGAGAGGTGTAGCGTTAGATAGTGTTTGGAACAGAGGTTTTGTTCAAGATTCAAGATTGTTTATTTTGTCTCCTATAGGAGAGATTTGGTTTGGACCTATGGGGCTGCTACATTTCAATACAAAAAATACAGACACACAAAGACACCAACACACGTGCTATATAGTTCACACATCATCTCCTCATGTCCTTATTTAACAGATTCACTGAAACAGGTATGAATTAGTTCTTGTCTGTGTGTTTTGTGTTGTGTTAAGAGAGTGAGTGAGAAGGGTCAGCAGTAAATTGAGACGCACCTGAACCTCTATAGAGAAGAGAAAAGCAGAGGTGAACGAGTGCATGGCGGTGACACAGGGCACCGGACCGGGCTCTCCGTTTGGGTCTCGCGGCTCCAAATCTCCGTGAGCGAACGCCAGGAGCCACCAGATCATGGCAAAGAGCATCCAGGAGCAGAGGAACGCAGACGTGAAGATCAGCAGCGAGTGCCACCACTTCAGATCCACCATTGTCGTGAACACGTCCAGCAAGAACCGACCCTGACCCGCACAAAGGAGAACAAAGGAGAGGAGTTACACATTTATGCTGCAAAGTATAATGACTAAACACACCAAAAATAAGTTTAATTCAGAGTCTAGTTATTATGATGTATGTGCTTAAAGCCGGGTTACCTAACTTTCAAACCACAAAAACATAACTATATAATAAAATCCAACTCTCAAAACGGTTCGGGTCTATCGCTATGCTATACATACTATACTATACATACATGCTAACAAGCATGGATGTGTATCATATTTTTTACTTTTGAATGCGCTGGAAAACGGCTGCATGTCCTAAGTAGCTCTGAAACAGTTGTTGTTTTGTGATTTAGAATATTTATTCTTCTGCCTGAGATGTTGCTGCAGTACAGTGTTCATGGTTTTAAACTGGTCCAGACCGGAGCAGAGAGGATTCATGGTCCGAACCAAGTGGATCAGGTGAAAATCCACTGGAGGAATGCTAACTTTTATTAAAATCCTAATGAAGCATTTAGCATTTTACTTTGGACTAGAGTAGAGAAAATGGTTCAAACCAAGCGATTACTCCACCTTGTGACCCGTCCTGCTCCACCCAGCGGCTACTCAATCTTTGCTGCCGTGACCTGAAGGCCTGTGGCTGATTAATACTATTAATAGCTTTTTAGAATTATCAATTTTATTTTTGCTGCTACTGGACACCTGAATTTCTCCTACGGGGATCAATAAAGTATCTATCTATCTGTCACATCTTTACATATTTAGACAGAAAAGTGAAAAAGAGAGAACCCTCACTCCGTGGCGGCACGGTGGCTGAGTGGATAGCACTCTCGCCTCTCAGCAAGAAGGTCTTGGGTTTGAATCCTGGTCGGACCAGGGCCTTTCTGAGTGGAGTTTGCATGTTCTCTCCGTGTCTGCGTAGGTTTCCTCCGGGTACTCCGGTTTCCCCTACCGCTAAAAATATGTACAATAGGTCTGGCATGCGCCTCCTGTTCGGCGACCCCGCTCCCATCTCTGTGTGGAGTGAGAGACAAATGCCCAAAAAATAACAATTGTAAACCGCTTTGTGACTCTGGTCTGTGAAAGGCGGTATATAAATAAAGCTTACTTACTCAGCCAATCAGCTCTCAAGTGAATAAAATAGTGACTCACAGGCCTTATATTCTAATAGTAATAGTTTGTCATCATCAAACTTCGGCCTTGACCATGTGGAAGATTAGGAGAGGAGCCAACAGAAATCAGGAGAAAAATTGCCATATTGGGGAATTTATATTAAAGGAAATTACCAGCAAATATGACCATAAGGCTCTTTTTGTTGGGACAAACAAAGTGTATCCAGCTTTTTTTTCATCTTGCTTTAAACATTTATTTTAAATTAAACAGAAATGTATGACTAAAGAAGAAATAATAATTAATTGTTTACTCATTTTGGCAGTTTTGGTCCTCCATTTAACCATTTAACCAACTCTTTCATTATTTACTTACAGAAAGAGCCTCAAAGCAAATGCGTCCATTTCTTAAAGTAAACATTTCAGTAAAGCCATACACAACCAGACATTGTTGAGATAAGTGATGACCATATTAGTCAGAGGTGGGGTGGGGTTTCAGGGTTTCTTACAGCCTATGCTTTCTATACCAATCTCAACTCAAATTAACCAACCACCATAAAATATGCTTCAAACTCTGCTTTTTAGCCTCGTCTTTGTCACTATAGAAATGACAGACAACTGAAGCTGAAGGTTACAAGCTACTCAACCTAATTTGGACCCTCCCCCTCTGCAAAAATAATCACTGGTGTTGTCTGAGAACAAACTAAATTAGATTTGTATGTGCTATAGTAATCCTGCTTCAATGTTTCTAATTGGACTATGAAACCAACGAGTGCCACAAGTGCCAGACATGATAATAAATTGTCTCATGATGATCAAACAAGTAACTTTCTGACCGTATTAAACTAGGAATGTACAGTAAATAACATGTTTTTTTTAATGAGTTTGTCTATTATTGCTGTTTGTATTGATGCCCCTCAGCATAATACATACGACTTGTTACAAAATGAGCTGAAGGAAGTGTGTGTGGATAGAGAAGCCTGGGCTGAAGCCTCAGACTGCTGCCCCCGCGACCTGGTGATGGATAAAGCGGAGGAATGTATGGTTTGAGTTATAAAACCTATTCACGGGAAAGTAAATAAGACAGTGAGTAATCTTTATTTATATACCGCCTTTCACAGACCAGAGTCACAAAGCGGTTTACAATTGTGGGCATTTATCCACACAATCCACACAGAGACGGGAGCGGGGTCGCCAGTACAGGAGGCGCATGCCAGACCTATTGTACATGTTTTTAGTGGTAGGGGAAACCGGAGTACACGGAGGAAACCTACGCAGACACGGGGAGAACATGCAAACTCCAATCAGAAAGGCCGTGTTCGGACTGGGATACAAACTCAGGACCTTCTTGCTGAGAAGCGAGAGTGCTATCTACTCAGTCACCGTGCCGCCCATCTGTGAATCTGTGAATTAAATGTATTACTATTCAAATAATTAATTTGTTGTAATTAATAGATTAACTTAGAGAGTTGTTGTAAAGCTTGAAGAAATTATGAATGTTTGCTCTTTTTACAATACAGGGAAAATAATCACTGCTCTGATGGGTCTCTGGGGAAATCAGCCAGGAGCACAAAACAACTCAACAATTAATTTTCTCAGCCCACTGTCGTTGGGGTCATAGTCTTACATATTCAAATTCTTGTTTTTTACCGTAAAATATAGAGTATGTTTTGTTCTGTAAAGTAATTTCATTTAGGATTGTCCCTTAAACATGATCTTGAGAAACAGATGAAACTCGAAAAATTATAATGCTGTTCAAAATTAAATTACTTCTGTAATTCAACTCACAATGTGAAACAAATATATCACAGACTATAATGTTGATAATTGGCTCACAGCTGTTAAAACCCCAAATAATCATCATCATTATGGCTGAGTGAAGGTGGTCCTTTGTTTTTCACTTTTATCTTGGAAAAGGCTTATCTAATGATGTGACAGAGGCCAAAATTACATGTGAAAACTACTAATGAAACGAAATGATTACTATGCTTTTGTGGCTTGAAAGTTAGATGCCCAAGCTAATATAGAGCTCAACTTGACAACTAGAGTAAGAGATGACTACAATGATCCATCACTCATCTCAATGATATTATATTCTAATGTTAAGATTCAAAATTCCACATAACATGCAATCAATTTGAAGGCATATGTTTATCAAGAACAAAATATCAGAGAAAACTAAGACTTTGTGAGTTACCTGCTCTCTGATGTTCTTGTGGGCCACGTTGCATGATCCGCTCTTGGTGATGAAGCGAGCTCTCTGGGCCCGGGTTCTGGTCTTTGGTTGGTTCTGGTCCTCTGCCAATCGGGTCAACAGGAACCCGTCCGGCAGCAGACCTTTCCGCGCTAACATGGTGCTACTGCTTCACTACTGGACACAAAGACCACAAAACACAACATTTTGGTTTCACGATACGATAAGATGCTGTTGTAATAATACAGTATATACTAAAAACACCCACACGTCTTTTTAGTGTCATATGAACCATTGTAGGGAATGATCTCCTGCTGGATCCCAGAGTCTAAATATGGGAGTATTGTTTCATCTTGAAAAAGTGACACCCTTCTGTACATTTCGAATTTGCTCATATTATTATTTCAATACATTTGTTCTTATTCAGTGAAGCACTAATATTTCTCTTGTGTATAAAAATTGACCAATGCCATATCAGGCAGTCTAATTGTTCTCAAAATAATGCACAGAACAGAAAGCTGAAACCCATAGATACACATTATCTAAAGGCTTATCTAAATCTTTTGTACACTACAACGTTAACAAGAAATTCATCCATTTTATTTACATTATCAATAAAATTAAACTTGAATATGTTTGTCTAAGATTCAAAATACAGCACTATATGAACCATGGGCCTCATTTAGAAAAATAAATTACATGTCCAGTAATTCAGTATCACAATATTATTTGGACTTTAACGCACCCCTTTTGTAAAAAATGTACACATTTTACTACTACATTGAACTGATAAGACTTCAGAATCTCAACATTATTGGAAAATGTTTCTTCTAGCAAACAACATGTAGGTATATATTTTCCAAATACAAAGAATATTTATACCTAGAAGCTACATAAGCGATCCTAGTTTATTACACAAGATGTACGTGTATTTTAAAGGAATAATTAATCATTTATATGCATTAAAAAGCAAGAAAATATAAAGGCTCGTTGTCTTTTCCATGATCGACATTACACTTTGGAGGTAAGTCACGTTTTAAACTCGTGTAAAGGTAATGTATATTAACTGCATGGGTTGAGTGTATTTTTTTTTACCGATTCCAGATGAATTTTAAAAGCGCAGGTTCTGGTTTTATGTGAAATTCGGTCTGAACTCCATCGCATCTTCTGTAGCATCACAAACAAGTGGAGTCTGAGCAGCTTCCGGTTTCAGCTGGATCTGTGGGTGACGTCACAGGAAAGACGCGCGCGCAGTCTAGTGGCGAAATAAGATGAAAGACACGACAGCAAGATGAGAAGTTGTTGTGTTGTTAATTGCACAAAAAGAAGTGAGAATGGTTGGCGTATGTTCAACATCCCGAGAGGACGTCACCCATTTGCCCAAAATAGGAGAAGATTATGGCTTCAGGCAATTAAAAGACTGGATTGGTCTTTGAGTGGTCCCAAGACTGGAATGAGCATCTGTGGAGCACACTTCATATCTGATAAGTGTCTGTGTCCTGCAGTAGCTGATAATAAGTATTTTTTTTTTAGTATTTATTTATATACCGCCTTTTCACTGCAGATCTGAGTCTCAAAGCGGATCTTTCAAGAAGTCCAATTCATAAGTGATCACTAGGTTACATGATGTCGCTAGATGTTATCATGATCAGTCAAGTTAAAGCAAGCTCCCCTTTAGCGCCGCTATAACAAACAAACAGCTAACTAAAATGCTAACCGGTGAGCACAGGCTAGTTAGTTAGCCTTCTAGTCAAAACAAAATTGATACTGTGAGTGGGAAGAGCACACAAATATTTTCGAGCTGTAAATCTAAAACCACGAAGTTTGTGGTGTTTTTACCATTAACACGAAGACATCTGGAGAACAAAAGTAATCAACCCGTATACAACTTAAAAGGTAATAATTACCTGAGCTAATGTGGCTTTTTTTCCTTTATCAGGAGAACCATCTATGGACTGTGACAGCCCAGATTTTGTGCCATCCCTTTTTCCACAAAGAGCAATGTATGTATGATTCAGTCTGTAATATTCTAACCTGACAGTGTAGCCTTGTTAGTTGGAGCCAAAATATTTAAAATAGTTATGTTTGTTTAATGTCTAATAGATATGTCAGAAAAAGAAGGAAGGACAAAGCATCTGCTACTACCGCCACACTCCACGCTGATGCTGAACCTGAATCAGGTATCTTGCACTTTAAGGGGTTTTGATGACAGTTCAGTGTTCCTTCATTTTCATCTCTTTAAACAGTTCAGTGTATTTTGTTATTTACTATAGTTTTTAAAGTATTTTTTGTTTTGTTTCAATGTTTTTGTTTCAAAAGATTGAACACTGATTTCCAATTTGCTATCTGTGTAAGCCCTTGATGGATTTGTTTACAATGCACAAAATGTTAAACTTTAAGACCAAGGGTGTAGCACATACAAAATGGTGAATTAACTTTTACTTTTACACTAAACTGTTGTATAACCCAATGTAAACCGGATTGCTTGTCGGATGCGCGCATCGCTGAATGTTTGTAATGTAGTTGTAAAGGAAATCCATCCAATCCAAGCAAGATTTTCAAAATAACAATAAAACCGCAGGATATGAAAAATAAAGTAAACAAAGGTACCAATGTAAACCATCCAACTATTTTCTTTAGCTTTATCCATTTACGGGTGGCAGGGGCAGCAGTCTTAGCAGAGACTTCCCTATCCACACCGTTATTATAATAGATCCATGATCCACACCTAGCACCAGACGATAACCCCAGTCCCTGAAAATATACAACTGGATATTTTGTAAATGTACGCTACATCTGCCAGTAGGTGGCGTGTTCTGAGTATTCCTCGAGACCAGCCTGCACCGGAAGTGTTTTGAAGACGAGGCGCGCGCACAAAAACACGGCGAACATTTGTGGTGTTTACTTTGTACAAAGCGTCGTCATTCTATTATTTTTGACGAAACGCAACAGAAACGGAAAAGGTGGAAAGAGCAGATCGAGTATTTCACATGGAAGAACACTGCGGGAAGATGCCAACAGAAGTCTGGCAAACCTAACGCGGAAGAAGGACATCCGAGAGACTGCTACAGACATTTGCATTGGTTTTAACTTGTTTTTTACGGTCTGCGGTTTTAACAAGAATAATAAGTTAATTTTAACTTCACTATGTCTCTGGAATACGTCATTACGGATGATGGTAAAGCATGTTCTTAAATTACTCTTTTAGTTAGCTGCAAAGCCTTTTCTCATATCCTTAGAGCAAAAATAAACAGATAATTTAAAGATGGAATTAAACCCTAAATCTCAATACTATATCCGATGGTAGACACAATTGTTGGTTTTTTATTTTTAGTAACTAAGTTGTTATTTGCTTCGGCTCTAATAAGTTATTCGATTAACAACTATGTATTATTAAGATTAAGATATTCTTTCGTCCCGTAGTGGGGTGTTGTCAGTGTTGCATCACAAGTTATATGTAGAAGAACAGGAATGAGGAGTACACAACACAAACCCTAAAACATATACACTACGACAAACTACCGGTTATTAATGAATCAAAGGAATACCTCGCCAATTTGTAATAACAGCCCTTGAGGTAAAAAAATAGACAGGTGACGTCTGGGAAGAGCACTTTTCTATTGGTTTGGTGAAAAGACCATCTGTTAAAAAGATGAGTGTCTCACCGAATAAATAAACGTGTGCCTGATAATGATACTGAATGTTTTTTTCTTTTCTTGTCACTCAGGTGGACTGTCACTGACGTCAAAGGAACGTCCAAAACCCCAAAAAAGACCTTTTAAAAACAAAGTCGTCACCAATTCCAAAGTGCAAGAGAAAAATGGAGGCAAAACGGTCTTTAAAAAGGCCAGAATTCAGAGCGGAACTTCTATTCAGAACAAATGCTGCGTTCTTAATTGTCCAAGTCAATCTCACAACAACAGAGGACAACGAATCAGAAATAACTTGAGTTTCTTCTCATTTCCCACGTGGACCCAAAACTGTGGCGTGTTTGTGTCCCATTTGTCCAAACGGCGCAGAGAAGCCTGGGTCACAGCTGTGGGAAGACCGGACATCACCTTTGATGTTTCTGAGGAGGTGAAGGTCTGCTCCCGGCATTTTGTAACAGGTGAGTATCGGAATAGACAAAGAATCTAGAAATCGAGACAATATAACATATTTGCAGGATGTTGGCCTGTAGAAAGGGCCTTTCCTACACAAAGTACAAATCATCACATAAAACAAACATCAAAATCACCATTAGGAACATAAAAAAGATAGAATCACACAAGTAAAACATTAAAATCACACAGGTAATTAAAATAATAAATGACCACAGTGCATTAAAAATAGATAATATTCTTCAGTTGTAAGCACAGGCAAACAGAACCGTCTTTAACCTGGATTTGAACATTGTCAGAGTAGACGCCTCATTCACTTTTTCAGGGAGACTGTTTCAGGTTTTAGCTGCATAAATCTGAAACGCTGCCTCTCCACGTTTAGTCCTGTTTGGTCCAAGTTTAGTTATGATCTTGGAAAAGATTTGGACATTTTCTTTTTCAACAGTTCATTCAAACATTTCTGCTGTAAACGGCGCTAACATAAGGCTCCACAACATGTCATTATTGTAATCCAAAGTATTGATTTAGTATTGTTTTTGTTTTTTTACCTAGTTTGCAAAGTTTACCTACATTTTTGACTACACTGTAGTGTCCATACTCAAAACTATATTTTAAAGCAATTCATGAGTAATCTTTATCCTTATACTAAAACGAAGGCTCCCCGATGGCCAAACCACTCCTGGTGCTGACCCAAGCTCTTGACTGATTATTTTCTAATTTTCTTATTTTCCAAACAGGTAAACCAGCGTTGGGGATGGTGCAGATGGATCTTGACTGGGTGCCAACGCTACATTTAAATAATGAAGCTGAAATAGTCCCAAGTCCAGACAAAAAGAAACCACCCATGAAGAAAGGGAAGAACATTGGTACGGTAAAAAAATCCTGTTGGTCTTCAGATAAGTTTAAAGTGATAGTCTGTAACTCTAAATGAATTACAAATTTTAGGAAATGTGTTAAATTGACCTCCTGGCCTTAAATGTTGATATAAAATAAGTCAATTTTATTAATTCTAGTATTAAGGGGAAGTCCCGCCTTCCCTGCTCTTAACTATAGTTCAGAATCCACGGTGCCGTCCACGTTAACCAATCGAGTCATGCCAAGGGCTGTCAATCATCAGCGCTGATGCTCGTAGCTGCGCGCATGCTCAGTTGTTTGTTTTTACGGAGCCTCCGAATCAAGCCTCCATTAGGCTCTGGAACTACATGAAAACTGAACAAAGAATTCTGAACATCCGCGCTGAGTTACTCATTTATATACTGAACCTATATCCATAATCATTTATATACTGAACCTACAGTGCCTTGAAAAGTGGGGCGTGCAATATTATTCGGCCCCTTGCGCTAATACTTTGTAGCGCCACCTTTTGCTGCAATTACAGCTGCAAGTCGCTTGGGGTATGTCTCTATCAGTTTTGCACATCGAGAGACTGGAATTCTTTCCCATTCTTCCTTGCAAAACAGCTCGAGCTCAGTGAGGTTGGATGGAGAGCGTTTGTGAACAGCAGTCTTCAGCTCTTTCCACAGATTCTCGATTGGATTCAGGTCTGGACTTTGACTTGGCCATTCTAACACCTGGATACGTCTATTTGTGAACCATTCCATTGTAGATTTGGCTTTATGTTTTGGATCATTGTCCTGTTGGAAGATAAATCTCCGTCCCAGTCTCAGGTCTTTTGCAGACTCCAACAGGTTTTCTTCCAGAATGGTCCTGTATTTAGCTCCATCCATCTTCCCATCAATTTTAGCCATCTTCCCTGTCCCTGCTGAAGAAAAGCAGGCCCAAAGCATGATGCTGCCACCACCATGTTTGACAGTGGGGATGGTGTGTTCAGGGTGATGAGCTGTGTTGCTTTTACGCCAAACATATCGTTTTGCATTGTGGCCAAAAAGTTTGATTTTGGCTTCATCTGACCAGAGCACCTTCTTCCACATGTTTGGTGTGTCTCCCAGGTGGCTTGTGGCAAACTTTAAACGAGACTTTTTATGGATATCTTTGAGAAATGGCTTTCTTCTTGCCACTCTTCCATAAAGGCCAGATTTGTGCAGTGCACGACTGATTGTTGTCCTATGGACAGACTCTCCCACCTCAGCTGTAGTTATCTGCAGTTCATCCAGAGTGATCATGGGCCTCTTGACTGCATCTCTGATCAGTCTTGGTAGATTTGCAGTGGTCTGATACTCCTTCCATTTCAATATAATTGCTTGCACAGTGCTCCTTGAGATGTTTAAAGCTTGGGAAATCTTTAAACTTCTCCACAACAGTATCTGGGACCTGCCTGGTGTGTTCCTTTGTCTTCATGGTTCTCTCTGCGCTTTAAACAGAACCCTGAGACTATCAAAGAGCAGGTGCATTTATACGGAGACTTGATTACACACAGGTGCATTCTATTTATCATCATCAGTCATTTAGGACAACATTGGATCATTCAAAGATCCTCACTGAACTTCTGGACTGAGTTTGCTGCACTGAAAGTAAAGGGGCCAAATAATAATATTGCACGCCCCACTTTTCAGTTTTTTATTTGTTAAAAAAGTTTAAATTATCCAATAAATTTCGTTCCACTTCACGATTGTGTCCCACTTGTTGTTGATTCATGACAAAAAAAATATTTTTTTTATATCTTTATATTTGAAGCCTGAAATGTTGAAAGGTTCAAGGGGGCCGAATACTTTCGCAAGGCACTGTATATCCATAATCATTTATATACTGAACCTATATCCATAATCAGATCCTCTGCAGATGTGTTCTATAATGTTTAATCAACGTTAATAGCACTTCCTGGTTTGCCGCGATCGCTTTTTTTGTGCGTAAAAACATTATTTTTTTCATTCAAACGTTAACAAATAATTCTGAAAACCTCCGTGCATGTGTATTAATTATGTACATGTATTTAAATGTGTTAGGTGTAGACCAATCAGAAAGGAAGGGGAGGGAGCTTGGATCGTTTTTTTTTCAAATCAAGTACCTCTCTCTCTTTCTGACAAACTCCAGACAATCACTTTAAGGACATGTTGCACTATATTCTACTCTGATCTAGATATGCATTTGCATTTATTATATTTGCAAATATACAAGCAAATTCGAATACATCTGTTTTTAAAATTGCTGCTCAAGAAAGAGTGAAGGGGAGTGATGCATTACCTTTGTTTCTCCAACATGAAATCCATGCATCATACAAATATATGTCGTTAACATTCTAATGAGAGGCCAATGGAGCTTGCTAAAGACTTGTACCATTGTAAAAAATGCTTCAGATGTGTCTTCAAAATGGGTCCAATTATTATATGATTTTGTTTTTCTACAGTGAATACCCCAGTGAAGCGAAAATGGAAAGAAGCAGTCAAAGGTACTTCTATTATTGTATTTCAGAGTTCTCACCATTTTGACTGGTAGTCTTTATTTCTAGGTATAAGAGAAGTAGCAAATGGTGGAAAATGATTAAATTATTAGTGTATATTTGATACCCACCAACAATTTACTTTCACAGATACAGCGGAGCCTATACCGCTTCAATGGAAAGAGTTGAAATCATGTCTACAGGTTCTAATGACAGACAAAAATGATCCCAAAGAAGTCACTCCAGCTGTGGATAACAGTGCTCTTTCATTTGAGGTAAAATTTAATAAGATAACATGGACTTTATTGTTCTCGCACTGGAGAAGTTTACACCAGACATACTCGGACCACTCTTTTCTCAGCACACATGCAGACCACTCTTGTCAATTCAATTTATTTTTGTGTTGCCCTAAATCGCAACAGTAGTCATCTTGGAGGACTTTACAAAGCTGTTGATTCGCCATCACAGATCAGAGAATCAAACGGTTCAAACACAGCACTATCCTCTCCTCTCTTTATGTGATAAAAACACGTTGGGCCATTGGTCCATAATGGCCAGTGGGCATAAATGTTAATAGATGTCCATAAATGTCGTTGAATGTCGAGTATCTTGGATCATCACCACTGTCCCTGCAAAAGAAAAACCTCAGGGAAGCCCACATTTAGGGAGGACTCTGCTTCCACAGATGGATAGGCTATAGTTCCAGGGCGCAGAACAAGGACCGAGGCCACGCAATGCAGGACTGATGTGGCTCTCAGGCAGGGAGAGGGTGCAGCCCACGAGTCCAGGCCGGGAAAGAGAAACCACAGGCGCTGATGGAGGAGGCCGGATTCAGAGGTCCCATCACAATAATGCATCCGTTTTTTATTATAGCGCTTTTTGTACACTCAAAGACGCTTCACATGTCATTCTTTCACTAATATTCTTTATACACAGTGGTGATAAACTACTACATTAGCCTCAGCTGCCTTATGGCACACTGACAGAAGCGAGGCAATCAGTAGCTTGGCTCCTCAGACCACCACCAACCATTCACACACACACCAGACTCCTAGGCAATGGGGGGGAAGTGTCTTGCCTAAGGACACAACCACAGTTTGGAACTTTACAGTTGCAGCCGCCCCACTGTGGCACCTGGTGTTCCCAGAGGTCTCCCATCATAGTACTAACAGAAATCATAATGAAAGTAGGAAGAGGAGAGGATAGTGCTCAACTTACCATACTTCTTTCAGCAAAGTGTCTCCACATGCAGCTAGACTCTTTTTAGACTTTAAGTTGTATTTTATAATTCTTAAGTCTCTAGTCACAGTATAAATGCAGACCCCTCTTCTTTCACTATTCATTTATCTCTTTATGTGTGAGGTCTATGTGGAAAAAACAAAACCATTGTCAAACTAGGGGGAAAAAAATTATATACATTATTAAAAAATGTAAGTAACAGGAAGTCACAGACTAGGAAATTGTTTTGGCTCAGTGCGTCAGTCAGAGAGGTAAAGAATAGAGAATAGAGTAAGACATAATAAAGATCAGCATACACTTTTAAGGTATACAATTTTAAATTGGAATTATTACAATTATTATACAATACACAAGTGCACATGGTGCACACAATATGAAGTAAGCAGTGCAATAAGGTGACAGCAGTAAAGTGACGTTATGATGGGCATTAAAGTGACTTTTAAAGGGTGGGGGGACAGGTTACGAAGTGTTCAAGACTCAAACAGCAGAGGAGAAGAAATTGTTCTTATGGTGGGAGGTTCTAGTCCTGATGGACCGCAGTCTCCTGCCCGAGGGGAGTGGTTGGAATAGTCCATGTGCAGGGTGAGAGGGGAGTGGTTGGAATAGTCCATGTGCAGGTGAGAGGGGTCGGCTGTGATACGACCAGCCCGGCTTCGAGCTCGGGCAACTTACAGGTCCTGCAGCGATGGAAGGCTGCGGCCGATCACTTCCTCTGCAGAGCGCACGATGCGCTGTAGTCTCTGTTTGTCCCTGACTGTGGCTCCAGCGAACCACGCGGTGACGGAGGAGGTGAGGATGGACTCGATGATGGCCGTGTAGAACTGCACCAACATCTGTGCAGGCAGCTTGGCTTTCCTGAGCTGCTGCAGGAAGTACATCCTCTGCTGGGCCTTCTTGATGAAGGAGCTGATGGTCGGCTCCCACTTGAGGTCCTGGGTGATGGTGGTGCCCAGGAAACGGAAGGACTCCACAGAGGTGATGGGGGAGTCCATCACGGAGGGTGGGGGCGGGGGGACAGTGCTCTTCCTGAAGTCCACAATCATCTCCACTGTCTTCTGGGCGTTCAGCTCCAGGTTGTTACCACTGCACCAGGACACCAGCCGGTCCACCTCCCTCCTGTAGGCGGACTCATCGTTGTTGGAGATGAGTCCAATGAGGGTGGTGTCGTCCGCGAACTTGATCAGCTTCACGGAGTCGTGGCTGGAGGTGCAGTGGTTGGTGTACAGGGAGAAGAGCAGGGGAGAAAGAACACAGCCCTGTGGGGCTCCTGTATTTATAATCCGAGAGTCCGAGACATTCTTCCCCAGACGCACTCGCTGCTTCCTGTCTGTCAGGAAGTCAGTGATCCACCTGCAGGTGGAATCGGGCACGTTGAGCTGTGAGCAGGTGGATAATACTATATGTGTTATTGCCTCATTCTTTCTAGTATCAACATTATTATTTTAGTCCAAGTTAAATGCAAATACATCTCTCACTGGAAACTGTTCTTTTCTGCAGGAGTATTTCAGAAATGCACTGACGGCCTCTTTAGACTCGTGCCAGACGAGTCAACAGAAGCGTCCGTCGTGTGGAAACTGCGTTCGTCTGGAGGGAAGGATCTCTGAGCTGGAGGAAAGACTGGCCACACCGCACCAGATCCTGGGGCAAAACATCTGGCCTCAATGTAAGGTTACAGTTTTGAATACAGAGTTCAACTCGAGTGTGCTGAGAGATGTGATTTTAAAACTCCAACAGAACAGTGATTACAATAACTAATCAAGAAATGCATACATACATGTGTCAATTTAATAACAGTTTTAACTGGAACTATGTATTAGATTGTCCTCCAGCGGATTCACTTGAGTCAATATTTTTTTAAATACGAATATGCGTTTTAAACAACTGATTATGAATATAGCAATTCATCCTTTGATAAAATCCATCCTAAAAAGAACAGTTTGCATCCCTACATTCACCCTCATTTTAATATCGTGAATATGATCATCAGATTATTGTAGTCTTACTAACAGTAGACTAGATATAGGAACCATCCATTCACTTGTAGGAGAGGTCTGGTTTATGATTGTCCTTAGCCGTTTATTTGGCCTTAGCATGTGGCGTCTACCACATGTGTCTGCACGATGATCAATTCTGCACAATGACATATGTCACATGATAGAAATTCATAGAGAAGGGAAGAAGCGGAAAAGCAATGGTGCTGGACGATTTCAAAAGAAAAAAAGCTTTCCACCATTATTATTGTTTGAGTTAAACGTTAGGAAAGATCGCATCTGCTGGATCTGGAAACTGGAACTTCTGTCCTTGGAATAGTGCGTCATCATCGTCTTGCCGTCTGCTGATCCAAATCCAAATAAACATTTCCAGGCAGTTGATGATTCAAATCAGCATGGGGATTCCCAGGCTAGGGAACCAACAAGTTGTGAAAGTACAATTTTGTGAACAAATTGGACCACATCATGCTGCCTTCATCTTATAAGGAAACATTTACTGAGGGAGGGTGGTAATCTCTTTGTCACACTTTTGTTCGAAAAATACATTCTTTTAATGTTTTATTTTTATTTTTATTTTTGTTCAGGGACCGAGCCTCTCTCTCAATCCACAGGAGAGCCAAGTTCGCCGTGTAAAGAAGACAAAAAAATCCCTCCCCAGACAAACACGTTCATGGTGAATTTGATCAAGAGGCACTGGTTTCTGCGCTTTTCGCCCAGCTCGAATACAATATGGTGCCACGTCTGCCGCCTGTACGCTGGGAAAGGCTGTCGAAACTCCAAGTTTGTGACCGGAACGCGCTCTTTCCAAAACAGCGCAATTGCCCTGCACACCAGGAACCGCAACCATAAAGAGTGCGTGAAGAAATTCATGGCTCTCAAAAATGCCAAAAAAACTGTCGGTCGCTTTCGCCGTTGAGAGCCTGACTGTGGCGTTAGACCAGCAGTAAAGAAAGTGTATTGTAAATGCATAACTTTCTGTGTGCATGAAGAAAAGCTAGCCACGCGAGTCACTATTTGACACTTCGGGGTGGGAGCGGATGGGCTGATGCTTCACTTTTGTGCAAAGAAGCTGATCTGTGATTGTGGCCAAACGTTCCGCTTTGGAAATGCACAAACAAGCATTGCAGTGAAGTTGGATAGTTTTAAATGTTTTTTTTTTTTTGCTGTTAATATATCAGGCAGCACCAAATACGCTGTTAGTCTCTGAGACATGTCTTTGAAGATTAGTTTTAGACTGGGACAATTTCAATTTCAGATTTCAGAACCTTTTCAGATTGGTCGTTATCAGGTCAGCCGGCTCGCATGTGAGAATACGAAGAGCAAGATGAAGGCTATAAAACTACACGTCACACTAGGAATGAAGGGCTTAACGTCAAAGTTTGGGCTTTGGACATGTGTTGCTCTGTCCTTTTTTAAAGTTGTCCTTTTTACAAAATGTTATTGTTTTTATTGCTCCATGTGATGATAAAGTTTGGAATTGTGCGTGAGGTCTTTGTCCTTATTGGAAAATGCCTTGTCACTATTTGATGCTCTGGGCTGATAAGTGATAAAATATGAGGTAAGAAATTCTTAAATCCACTGTCTATCTTGAGTACATTCTGACTGTCAAACAAAGCCGTTTAGCGATTATGTAGTTATATTTTTAGCTTGAAAGTTAAGTACCCAGCAGCATACAACAAGCTCCACTTTTCACAAAACACAGTCAAGATTTCATAAAGATTTTCCAAAATGTACTCTAAAAAAACGTATATAACGATGACCTCAACAGGGGACAAAACTCCAATATACAGAGAAAACATGACAATCTAAATGCCACACAAAAATTTTATCCTAATCTAAGTGTCACATTTTTTTAATAGTAAATTTGCGTTTCTTTAAACTATATTTTAAACCTGTCATTCCTCCAGAAAAGGAAAACTCATGAACTTTGAAGTCTGCTCTCTAATTAAAACGTTGAAATCATTCTTTCACTAATGGATAGATGACACTTGTGTAAGTCAATATCTGAGATAACGGCTGTTTAGTCTGTATCTACACATTAGAATATAGGTGACATCAAACTCGTATTATACCAAATGTGGGATCCATTCTTGTGAAAGTGCCCTGTGGATTCTGCTGTCCACATCAGAGGAAGAGAGGAACGAGACCAAACTAATCCTGTGTAACACGTTCTGAAGGCCTTGGACCAACAGGGAGCAGTTGTGATGTCCAGAGAAAAGGAGAACGGAGGAAAGAGCCTCAGTCTATTCCCAGTCCTTCAATGTGAGGGAAGGCCCAGCGATTGAAGTCATCAGATTGCTCTATGGGACAGTTGAGAAAATTGAGCTGAGTGAAGGGTTAGGCCTGGGTCGCCTCATCCAGCCGCAGTCTGTGTGGGGAGACTGCTGCCTTCGTGCTATCCAGGCCCAGAAGGAAGTGGATGGATCACTCCAGGACAATCAATACCCATGACAAAGTAGAGAATTTCTCTTCAATTAAAAAGTAGATACATCTTGTGCAGGTGTAAGTACACATCTGGTTTAATACCCTACGTGGTTTCATAGAAGAACTTGCCATGTGTGAGAGTAAGAGAATGTGGAAGTGCAGGACCACACCAATACAAAACTCCAGCTTTTGGGTTGCATCAGTAATCAGGGTATTAGTATTAGATAGCAATATGGCCTACGTGCAGGACTGTACAAGGACTCTACAAGGACTCCATGTTATGACTATGATGTGACTGTCTCTTTGTGACACGTATGTCTTTCGATGTGTGACGTGACAATGACTATATAAACTGTGTACTGCCTTTATTCTGTCTGAGAGGAAGAAACAGAGTAAACCAGTGGAACTTGAGAGAAACTTAAATAAACTTCCAGAGTTTGGCACACCACGATCCGTCTCTGTCTGCTTAAATCCTAACAGATTTGGTGGAGAATGCGCGGCTCAGTGTGTGCCATTCTCTGGATTGTTTTGAGGGAGCTTGCTCTGTTTCTTTTCTTCTGCGTGAGAGATCGGCATGCTGTGTCTGGGAGCGGAGATTCCAGCAGGCTGGAAGAGCTGTTCCTGGATGCTTCTTGTCGCTTCTGTCACTTTTGTTTTTTTAAATTGAATATTCCGACGCGGAAAAGAGTTGGCAGACCTCTCGGACAGTCCTTGGAACCGGTTTGACAAGAATAAGGTAAGCAGACACCTTTTTTAATATGTAAAGTCTGCATAATTGGATATTAGCTAAATTTTGGTGTGTTTTTTGGGGTCTGTCAAACTCTCTAAATTGTATTTTGAAGAAGTCTCGGGGTTAAAGTCCCTTTGAGCCTCGGGGTTAAAGTCCCTTTGAGAAAGTCTCGGGGGTTAAAGTCCCTTTGAGCCTCGGGGTTAAAGTCCCTTTGAGAAAGTCTCGGGGTTAAAGTCCCTTTGAGCCTCGGGGTTAAAGTCCCTTTGAGAAAGTCTCGGGGTTAAAGTCCCTTTGAGAAAAGCCTCGGGGTTAAAGTCCCTTTGAGAAGAAGCTTCAGGGTTAAAGTCCCTTTGAGAGAAACCATGGTGAATTAAAAGTAATTATAAAAAGGGAAACATTAAACACTAAAGAGTGCCTTTTGTTACTAGTGTGGAAAGTGATCATTTCTAGACTTGGATGACAAAAGTATAAAGAACAACATCAGTTATATTCGCTTAAAAAATTAATCTTGAAAGTTCTTCTTCTGTGTCTTTCCGCCTGTGTGTGCGCGTCTGTGTGAAAGGAACCCCCCCGCCCTCGCTGCTGCTGAGCTGCTGCTCTGATTTAAAGGGGAGCTACTGCTTTAGGATTTTTGGCTTTTCATAGTAGTTATTCCGTTAAATTTGCTAAATTTGCCATTTGAACATTGTGTTAGACACAGTTAAACGTTTTTAAACACCATTAGGGAATAGAAGTTTTGAATTAGTATGTTTTTGAAACCCAAAGATTAGTACAAAAAGCTTTGCTTTTCTTTTTAAATCTGCTGCTTATTTTGTGAGTCCATTATTGTATCTCTGATATATTTCATAGCTGTTTGTGAGAATTTTTTCATGTATTTTTTTTTATTTTAGTTACAAAAGCCGTTTTTCAAACATTTAAATTAGAATCTGTTAAAAGTGATTAATGATTGTAGACTTCGTCTAAAAAAGAAAGAGGGAATTAGGCTGTAAAAGTATTATATTATTAAGTTAAACTACCCAATTCACCCAATTCACATTCAAGTGGTGACTTTTGTTTTTGTTTTGACTATGCACCTGACCTTCCTCCTGCTGCAGATGCACGCAGCACAGGAGCCTGGTCTAAAATGTGCTCCAATTCATACTGACTTCATTTGAAAAATGCTGCAATTATTTTAAATTAGTAGAATAGATGCTGAGATAAATAAGTGTAAAAGGGAAAGTCCATAAAGTGAAACCCAAGATGTTCAAGATTAAAAACATCACACAGTACAAAAGTATATAATACATGTTTTAAAGTTTAAAAGGTTGTTTGTTTTGAGTATAATTGTTGTTTTGATAACTTCTTTAGTTTCTGGTCTTAAAAATGTCATCATTAGTAAGATAATAAGTAATCTCAAATTGTTTTGACTTCAGAGAGAAAAACAATCTCATTCGCATACTGATATCTATTGTTTTTTTAAATTGGCTGTTTCAAGGATTGTTTTTCAGACTCTGGCACACTGTGGGAGGGGTCACTGCTGGACACTGGACAGCGCAAAGCCCACCCAGCCAGGGACGTGCAGTCAGGGGAGGCAGGGGAGGCAGAGCCTCACCTGCCATTATTGGAAACTAATAATTATTTTAGTTTAAATATATAATTTATATCCACTGCCCTATGCTTTTAATGTATATTCGGCACGGTTCCCATCAGTTTTGATCATTTCTGAAGTCAAAATCGCCGAAATCCCGTTATTCCTATTCAAAGAGACGAGGTGAGGCAGCGCTCCTGCGTGCCTCACCTCAGACCGCTCCCTCACAGTGTGTGTGTGTGTGTCTGAGTGCACTCAGCTCGTGCAGTTGATATATCACCGTTTGTTTCAAATATCCTGCTTTAAAAACATGTTTTAAACTCCTCTTAGTGTTTAGTAGTGTATTGCACGTATGTGTGTACAATTTATATTTAGTTTAAGTCTTTTGATCGTAGATGAACACACAAGGAAAAAGCTTGGCGTGAGGCAGGCGGTATCTGTGCCTCACCGCTAGGGGTGATAGTGAGCATAAAGTTCATACCAGAGTTGCTAACAAACAATCAGCCCAAAATGCTATTTCTTTTGCTGGAAAATGGATGATTTGAATGAAGATTTTTTTTCTCAATTGGACTTTCAAACAAAGAAAGAATTAATATAGACTGGGAGACCACCACTGGACTTACGAGGTTAGTCCGGCTGCGGGGGAGGAGTTTGTTAATCTGTGTTTTATGTTGAACATTGACAGATACCGGCAAAGTAGTGCTTTTCCGAAAAACACTGATTCAAACACTGCTCAAGAGTTCTGCAACTTGTTTAAATTATTGTTTATGTTCCTCGCGTCTCTCTCTCCTCGCGTCTCTCTCTCCTCGCGTCTCTCTCTCCTCGCGTCTCCGTCTCTCTCTGCTCCTCTCTGTCTCTCTCTGCTCCTCGCGCGTCTCCGTCTCTCTGCTCCTCTCTGTCTCTCTCTGCTCCTCTCTCCTCGCGTCTCTCTCTCCTCGCGTCTCAGTCTCTCTCTGCTCCTCGCGTCTCCGTCTCTCTGCTCCTCTCTGTCTCTCTCTGCTCCTCTCTGTCTCTCTCTGCTCCTCTCTGTCTCTCTCTGCTCCTCTCTGTCTCTCTCTGCTCCTCTCTCCTCGCGTCTCTCTCTCCTCGCGTCTCTGTCTCTCTCTGCTCCTCGCGTCTCCGTCTCTCTGCTCCTCTCTGTCTCTCTCTGCTCCTCGCGTCTCCGTCTCTCTGCTCCTCTCTGTCTCTCTCTGCT